TGTTGTTCTTGAGCTCGTGCCTACGATGATGGTGTTGTTCTTGAGCTCCTCATGAGATGTTTCCATGGACGGGATAGTGCCGGAGAGGGAGCGTTCGCGAGGCATGGTGGATATCTGTGGAGGAGAGGTGGTAGTACGAAAACAAGCGGTTATGCGATGAATAAAAGAGGTGCAGGGTTGGGGAGAGGACATACCCGGGTAAAGTGCGCAGAGAGAAGGAGGGAGTGAGATGATGGGTGATGTGGGACAAACCAGTCAGCTGAAGTGACCAAAGTCTGACGCTGACTACAGACTTCCCAATCTTATCACAGAATCGTCTTCGGCCCGCTATGTCCGATCTCGCGCTCCCACGCTCGCACCTCCTTCGAACACCGTGCCCCGCCCTCTCTCGCCATCTGAGCCCGCGACCACATGCCGAACCACAACCACCTCCCCAACCACGCTCCCTCGCCCAACCCCGACGATGTCCTCGACAAGTTGCGCGACCTCGTCGCCGACACCTACCTAAACAAGGACACCTCATCCCTCCACATCCGTGCCATGGCCCTGATCGGGCGCCTAAAGAGTCTCTACCGCGCAGCCAACGCCGCAACACGTGCACGAAAGGAGGAGACGACCGCCGCGCGCCTCGAGATGGACCAGTCACACCTCACCCTCCAGAATCTGCTCTACGAGAAACGCCACCTGGAAAGGGAGATCGAGAAGTGCAGACAATTTGCGTGCGTCCTTTTTGTGCTGGTCTCAAATGGCATGATTTCATGCTGAGTGCTTCGGGGCGAAACGAACAGGTCAATATACCAGGACGTGCCGCTATATACCCTAGAAGAGTTCAATCGTCTGGCCCCTCCGGAAGCCCGAACAGACAACGAACATCAGTTGATGCTCAACCGCCTCAGCTTTGAACTTGCGGAACGCCAACGGTACGCCTTGATCCTAATCACATGGTGTCCCGCATATCTAACTTAAAGCCGCTCTCTCCAGCCTCGACCTCAAGAAGAAGGAGCTCATGCAACAGAAGGAAGAGCTTCTTAAGGAGAGCAAGGCCAAGGTTGCCACAATGGACAATGTCAAATCCCAAATAGACTTGCTCATGAAGGTACGTTTTTATCCATCTTTTCCGCCCTTTCCCCGCTCATGGGCCTCACCCTTGCTTCATTTAGACCGCCACCGAGATCCAAAAGAAAGTAGACGAAATCGTGCAACCAACATCTGCCCAAGCAAACGACGCGCCTGGCTAAACTTTCTGTTGAGATCCCCATCCCGTTTACTCTTCCTTTTTCTCATGTAATCCATGTTACAATTCACAGTTCCTCATCTATTGTACACTCTGTAATGAAAGAAGTGAATCCCGGAGAATAAGCGGACCAGAAAGACTATTAACAACGGCGTGCGATGAGTGGGTGGTGGTACAGTTAACTAAGGTGGTGGAGAACCGGTCTCAAGATGTGTGCAAGGGTATCCATGGATGAAGAAGCAAAGCAAGTTCCATTCACTCCCCATCGCTGATGCTGCCTATGTCGCTCATCTCTGCATCCTCATCATCATCTTCCTTGCCGTCAGCAGCATCTGCTGCCTCTTTGGTCGCGTATCTCTGGACATATTCTGGGCACAGCACAACGTCATGAACGCCATCAATCCTGCGATAGCCAAGGAGCTTACCTTTCACTTTAGCCTCGTATTCCTTGGGGTGTCTCATCAACAGAGCAGCCGCCTCGCCGTTCAGGGGATCGTTGGGGTTTGGGTACCGCAGCAGCTGGGGCAGGAAGACCTCAAAGATGTTGATCATATCTGGGCTGCCTTCAGCATCCGGTACATGCAGCCCAGGCAACAGGACTCACCGAACATGGGCGACCAGGTCTGGTTAATGACATCGAGACACACGGAACCACTCCTACGAGGGCGACATGAGCAGTCATGGACAAGGTCACAGCGAACAAGATCCGCACAGCTCGTCGATGTTGGGATGGAATATCTTGTTCATGAACCCGATGCTGGGCGACTTGAATGGGTACTGGTCGGGCAGCTCGACGTGGATCTTCCACACGCCGCCGGAGAACGGTGCTGCAGGGCAAGGGTTAGCATGGGGACGTAGGGAGACGAATCGGTGTGTAGCGCACTCTCGGCCGGACCGTAGAAACGAACATGGAACTCTTGCATGTTGTCGTTCACAAGGCTGACCTCGTAGTCGGACATTAGCCTGGGGATGCGGAGGAGAGCATATCAGCATGCTGCGTAGACACAAGGCGCTCAGAGGATCGATACAGTTTCATGACATCGGTTTCGATGCGTCGTCTACTGGGATTCGCGTAGAGATAGGATGAGCATCAGTACACAGTTAACGGTCCTGAACGAGGAGACTTATCATAATGGATGCAAGGTTTGAGGGTTGGGGTCGGGAGGCAGAGAGTGGGCGGGAATGAAGGGGGCTGTGGGCAAATCAGCAGTGGCAGCTCTAAAGCACAGAAATGTGCCGGAATCGGCGATGACCGAAAATGCGATCATTGACACCATCCTTTCTTGTCCTCCAACACTCATATCGCTAGCCTTATCACACTCCCTGCCTGCAGGCAGCCGTCCGCCTGGTTCCCTACTTCGTTCGGCCATCATCTCTTTTTTCGCGTCTCTTGTCTGCGCCGAACAACAAAGGGCGACATATGTGATAAAACACCTCATGCTGCAGTGCTATCCGATTTCTAGGAAGATCTCCTGGCAGCTGGACATCATAATTTATGAGTTCTCCAAAGACACATGGAACAGCCTGGAACCTCTACATTTGGTGGTCTACCAATACGTGTACTCCTCGTAGATGCAGTACACGTTGTCGCCCGCGCATGGGTCCTTCGAAGCCTGAGGTATCCCGAGGTCCGCAGTTGCTCCTCCTTTCCCGCTGCTGGTGCTGCCCCCTTGCCTGCTCTGCATCGACTTGTACCCCACCAAAAATACTGCAGGCACGACCGGTCCCCTATCAACAACTGGCGAAAATAAAGCGGCCAAGAAACTAACGTACCAACCCAGAATAGCGCAAACAGACCAATCACCGCCATCTCTTCCTGGGACCGAGTCAGCATCTGGCCTTCCGACTTATGGTGCATCATGATCCTGCAAGAGGGAAGTTGCCGTTCCATGGTTTGAACTCTTTGTGTTGTAAAGGTATTCCGTGAATGCAACAAAGCTCACATGAATAAAAGTGCCGAAATCGACAGAATCGCGATTGACGTTTGGGTCAGCTGGAATGCGTCTGTGATAAGAGGTTGTTATTGTCTGCAATTGAGTTTTCGAGGTGTCAAGGCCAGGCCTACATAGCGATGTCAAAAGCTTCGTCGAGAAGTGCGCGACGCTGACGACGGCAGCAGCTGCAAAACATGAGCGAGGCTCCGACTCGTGTCTTGCAGAACGAAGGTACCTATTGCTGCAGAGCGAATTGGATTGCTGAAGAGTGTCATAGATGTCCGTCGTTGAGCTGATCTAGCGAGACTAGGAGGAAAGGATAGAGAAAGCAGAGTACAATGGTGCAAGAAATATCTATCGAGTCGTCTGATATGAAATATAGTACATGAGGCATAAGCACGTTTGCTACACGAGGCGGTACTACGGTAGACCCCCAAGAACGTAAAAAATGAAACACAAGGTGCACGGCGTAGCATGTTTTTGATTCATGAAGGAGATTCGTTTCGACTTTGGTGCATGTCGTCGATTAGACGGGAGGCGCAGAATGCGGGATTTGGGTGATGGTAGGTGGTGCACCGTTGACACCTGGTTGAATGACAATAGACTGGCCGGGAATCTGCATTGGCATTGGGTAGCCGTACGGCTGAGGCATTGGGCCCATTCCAGGGGACTGAGGAGGGTATGGGTATGGGTAGCCGCCGGCAGTGTTGTAGTAACCTGGCGCTTCTCCGAACCATGGCAGCTCTATAGGATGATAAGTATAATCCTCGATATCAGCGGACGTTGGGCGAATTCTTACCTCGGATTGGTTCTTCCCAGATGTGGTAACGTCCGTAGCGTTGAGCTTGGTGAACGAGTCGCATTAAAATCCAGAAAGCAATGACGAAGAGAGCAAATAAAGCCCATGAGAAAGCCTGAACCACTTTCATCTGGTAGCAGTAGGACTGGGCGCTCGCTGGACAGGTTTAAGTTGGAAGCGTGCAGGAGAATAGATGGCAGACGTACTGGTTCCATCGTTTTTAGATGGTATTCTCTGACCTCCAAGAGTATCGCATTGAACAAAGCCGATGATATCACTGCAGGTAAGTTACGACTTAGCGCACGATTTTTAGCCTGAAGGAAATTCGGAGCCTACGTCGACCAAGCACCCATAGCTGTAACCGGAGGACATCAATGAAGGCCCAGAAGCGTATAATTGTTGGAGATTCACCAAGCCAGAACGTCCCGATGATGAAAAGCTCGATTGCTTCTGTTCGTGGTTGCGCCCATTGAAGACTAGAGGAACGCTATAAGAATGATAATCATGATCTACGACGTCATTACGCACCTCAGTAGGAACAACAGAATCGTCAGAGACGGTACGATGAGCGCAAATATCGTGAAATCCCCTGGCGGCGCTCTGTCAGACTATGCCGCAATACAAAAGCGACTCATGAGCACTGACGGTGCAAGCTGGGCAGGAAAAGGCTGGCAAAGTTCCCCGCTATTCCCAGAACAGTGCCTAAACGACAGTCATCAGTGTCGAAGCTCGTTCATAATGCGCTCATCACCGTAGAAAGTACCTGATAGCAGCAACGTCACGACTAGGGGAAATGGGCGGTGTAAAATGATTAGCGCGAGGATCTGTGCGGGAGGATAATCTCGAGAGCTTACTGTAGAATCCCAACCTGTTGTTCCCAAAGTGCACGGTCATGATCGTAAGGTGCCGCTGGAGCCGAGAGTGCTGAGGGAGATCGTGGAGGTACAGGGAAAAGAAGGGGTATCCCGAGCCGTGGATATATGGGAGAGCGCAGGAAACCTGTGCAAGCAGCCCGAAGGAACAAACGGCAAGTTCTCGAGCCCTGCGCGTCGAACTAGTGACGTAATTCGGGCGATGGCAATGTACTTCATTTTGCGAACGCACACATTGTCTTCTCCTCAGGACAGCCTCGGACAATCATCACCCTAGTATCCATGTAGTGGTATAATTTCCTTGTACAGATCGTACTTATATATGCTATTCTACATCACGATTCCGCAGTGAGTTATCTATATCCGTTACTCGTCGTAAATACTTAGAAAGAAACAGGTCAGAAATACATTCAGTCGTGAACACGCACGATCTTCATCGCTGGGCGCGAGTCCGGCTATATGGGTTGAGCATGCCGCCATTCTCGAGGTCGGGAACTGTGGCTCCATTACGTGAAGAGTTGCCAGAACCCTGCCGCACGTACCGGCCAGGCGATTGAGTGTACTGCTTCGCCGGTTTCGTGTAGGGATTTCGCGACTGGTATCTCGTGGAAACGTGTTCGTGTCGTGCGCTTGCTTTCCGCTCCGGCTTCTCTGTGTATACGGGCTGACCAAGTTGTGCGCTGGCGATGGGAAGAATGCTTGAGCTGCTTGTCTTGCCTCGTGTCTGTTTCGCGTTCTCATAATTGTTGAACCAGGCGCAGGAGGTAACCGGTCCGTGCCACATGTGTTCGTCACCCTTTCGGTGTCTTCGGATTGCCAGGATGAGAAGAGCCAGGCAGGCGAAAATGACTACATCTTTGTCAGCGAATTTGGTAGAAATTGGAAGAGCCAAGAGCATACCTAGTGCTGCATTCATCAAGGAGAAAGACATCAAGACACGATACATTGCTTGGTATTGGTCGGTCTGGACTGTAAAAAGGATGTAAATATCTGCTAAAATCCCTCAATGGCAGGGCGCTCACAGTTCGCGATTTCCTCGTCCACGACGATTTCCTCGTTGTCAGGAGCGTAGCACTCAACATCTGCAGATTGGGCCTCCGATGTCGCAAGGTAGGCACCAAGTACTACGGGCAAATGTCAACAATGGGAAGCCGCGCGGAACACGGAGCGACTCACCAAGCCAAAATACACTAGCCAATCCCAGGCAAGCCAGCTCGATTCTTGTTGATATAGGGTTCCTCTTCCCAAAGAAAAAGCTGAAAGACAAACTGGGTGAAACAGTCAACGGCCTGACGATGCGTGCGTGCAGACGAAGTGCTCACAGGATCACGAAAATGAAGAGGCTCGCCGAGCAGACGAAGATGGCGAAGGGGACAAATCGGGCTGAAAGGAAAAGCGTCGGCATGCAAAGAGGGAACCAGGGGGGTTGGGCGTACTGAGGTCCGAAGCTGCCAGCACTGACTGGAAGTGCCCAGCCATCGCGAGGCAGATGACAGTGAAGAGGATCACCGTAGCTATGGTGAGCCCATTAGACCACTGCGAGCAAGCATCGGGGAGAAAGCGCACCATATATCGACGTCCGGATAGTGTTGAACAAGGTCATTCTTGCTCTGGAGGGGACTGGTTGCTGCTGGCGAAAGGGTGCAGAAGGTGCGGAGGGCGACATGATAAAGTAACTAGAGGCACGAGGCGAACATGAAGCTTTGAGACCGAAACGAGCGAGCAATGAGGGGACGTGTCAGTGGGTGATGCGGCAGACGAGATGCTGCAGCTGGCCGGTGCTTAGGAAAAACGCACAGGCAACGAGGCCGACAGACTGAGAGATGCCCGGTGCGCGGAACGAAATTTGTGTCCCTCCCCATTTTGAGGAAGAGAACCCTGACGGGGTTATCAAAAACGCCTCGAGGCAAAATGCAGCACAGCCACTGCGGCGCGAACCATCCGGAATCAATCACACTCGCCCAGAGCCCCAAAATTCACTTTATTCTTGTAAGTACAACACAGGGCAGCACCTGTCTAAGGGCATTCAGCGCGCAGTTTCTCCCCAATATCATGGTAGAAAGTCAAACACTCTGGGTTTGACAATGTTGCAGGGTTGACAGAGGACAATGGAGCTCCATTGATTATCTGAGGTTGCGTGACTCAGTTAGACTCGAGGAGACCACGCGTCGTCGCGACCAACTGCTTACCTTCTTCACAAGCACTTCCACACGCTTGCCGTTTAGGGTGTACGGAACATCCGACACTTGGATTATCTTGCCGGCATTCGTCAGCTGAGCTCAACCTTCGAACTAAACTTTACCATTCCCACAAAAACATACCTTTGCTGGAACATGCCGAGGACTTCTTCGGGAGCGTATTTCTGCTCTCATTTTTGTTTCTAAGTCGGACGAGAGCTCTTGGCCAGGAGCAAGCTTGACGAATAAAACCACCCGCTCGTCTGCTCCTCCGTCGGTTTTTTGCCCGACGGCTAAGTAATCGATAATTGCGTGCCCCGCAGCCGGGCTTGAGAAGCACGTATCGAGCACTTCATAAATCTCCGAGGACCCAAATCGAATACCACCGGGGTTCCTGCACACCTGTCAGCTGATCGTGAAGGGAAGGGTGATTCAAAGATAACATACAGAACACCGTCGGAGCGTCCAAGCATGATTAGCCCTCCTCCATTCCCCATCCTCGAACGTGTGATGATAATATGGTCGCCGTGGTCTTCGCTCTATATATCAGCGGCTACATTTGAGAAAGAAGAGTTCACTTACACCACACACCCTCGAACTCTGCGAAGTATGATTGATAAAATCTTTCCTGAGCTGCGCGAACATCAGCCTCTGAGCCGAATCCTGGCAGGGGCCAAAAGCCAAGCGGCATGCATGGGAACGGCCTGGCACAGACAAGTTCCCCTGCCTCATCTGGTGGGTTGAGAGAACCAGTTGGCGAGAAGCTCTCAACTGCCATTCCGAGCATTCTGCATTGGATCTCTCCACGAAACACAGGAAGCGCAGTGCACATTCCGGCAAACAAGGAACAGATATCTGTTCCGCCTGTTCACGTGAAGGAGATGATCATGGGTGAGAGATCCTTCTGAAAGCACGAACCTGTTATGGAGCCTAGGAGAACATTGGGCTTGATGTGCTCGTACACATAGTCGAACAATGGAGATGCAAGTGGAGATCCCGTGGAATAGATGTGTCTGAGGGTCTCAAGACGGTGATGGTCTCGAGGGCGGTAGTTTTTCTTTCGCAAAGTCGTTAGCCCTTCGAAATCGAGAAAGAGATGCGATTAGATACCGAGAGGTGGTCGAGATACTTCGCACTGGTGCCAAAAATAGTGATGCCAAGGTCATCGACAAGCTTCCACAGCAAGCTAACATCTCGCAAGGGGCTGCCATCGTACAAGATAAGTGTGCATCCGATACTGAGTCCGCTCACGAGAAAGTTCCACATCATCCATCCTCTATGGAGAAGAGCTGTCAGCATTCATATGTGATGTTCGACGTATGGCTTCCACGAACGTTGTTGTATAGTAGAAAAATACGTCGTCTGGACGAAGGTCACCACAAATCACGAATTCTTTCTTGCCCTGGAGAAGCATTCCTCCTGCTCGGTGAACTATGGGCCTGAATACCCTATTAAAGCAAGCTTCGATTCGGTGCACGGCGAGGAGACATACTTTGGACGCCCAGTTGTACCACTACTAAAAAGTATCCACAAAGGCGCATCGAATGGTAGGCGAGTCCACTCTATCTCCCCGCTTTCTGACCGCCCAAGCTTGCGTTCCTGGCCTTCTCTGACGAAGGCTTCCCAACCAATCCAATCGCTCTCCCAGGATTGGGTATCCGGCTGAGAAATTGTACTCATGATCACAACTTTCGGCGTAGGGATTTTATCTGCCAGGCCTGCGAGCAACGCTCTCAGCTTCGGTAGGTGCTGGTGAACCTTGTGATTGTAGCTGTCGGACGAGCTCAATCCTGTCTTCTAGAATATGCGGACATAAAGAAACTCACACAACCGCGTCAACAGAAAATATGATTTTGGGTTGGACCTGTTCCAGCCTGCTCCATGCAAAAATAAGACATGGACTGCTCGGACAAAGTTGGCAGTAACCACGTACCTCTCCATTACGCCTGTGGAACCGAAATCTGCAGCTGCGCTGACCCAGATACCGCCGATCGCAGAAGTCGCGAGGCATGCTGCCACATCTTCCTATGGACGCGGGTCCAGCCAATCAATCAACACCCGGTATTTCCTGAGCCGGAGTACAAGTTTGCTCACAATGCAGTTGGAAGAGTAGGAGGCGACTCTATCTCCTGCTTTAACGCCATGACGTATCAACGCCGAGACGACATCAGCCACTAGAGCGTAGAGTTGCGCGTAGGTGACGCTTCTAAGACGTGGAGGACGCTCATGGGGAGTGGGCTCAGCTGAGGTCCGACATCAACTTTCCAAGGATCGTAATCAGGAGAGGCAGGGATCACGCAACTGGCTTCTACAAGGGCAATCTTGGTAGTTGAACGACAGTGCAGCATGTTTTCAGCCCAGTTGACCCGCGCATCGGCGAACCTGTACGCGGACAAGAGGGAGGTCGGACCATGCATTTCATTCTGGAACAAGCGACGAACGTACCAGACGGGGTTCGCAGATGGCAGGGCAGCGTTATCTACAACATGCAAGCCCTTGTCGCCGATGATACTCGTTTCATCCCAGACGTTTCCCCAAAAAAGATCCAGGTGCGTGGTGGTCCATTTGTAAAGGTCATAGTAGTCCGAGAGGGAGAGGCCGTAGACGGTATTGACGTGCCGCAGAAAACGAAAGGCGGCCGACGCGGTGGCGTCGTGGTCCTGTGGCTGAAAGAGAGGATATTCGTCGGGCATATTCTGCTGGGACGATGTTGACGAAAGAAAGACGGATGTTTTGGTCGGCTTCGGATAGATATGCCAAGCCCGTAAGAGTGGCCCTGACACGATAACGGGAGTGGGGTAGAGAGCCCCCGATAAGTAATGAAAGGCGAAAGGGGAGGAGCAGGAGCAGGCGTCCTAGAATACGCCAAGCGTGAGTGCAAAACCTCGTCTGGACTGTGGCACAAGCGTGGACGTTGAGCGGGGATTTGGAGCGGGCGAGAGGATGGACGGGATGAGTGACCTCGGACCGGGCCGAGCGCACGTTCGCGCGGATGCCGATCAGATCAATGTGGGGCAATTGGGTTTGAGGCCACAATAATATTTGAACGGCCGAAATTATAAAGCGCTGCCTCTTGCTTTTCTCCATCTCGTCACCTCTCACGTTTGTCCTCCCATTCGCCACCTCCCTTTACTTCTCTCCGGGAGCCGCGTCACCGCCTCAAAGCACATAGGCCCAGGGTATATATACGCGTCTTAGGCACCACACACACTCAAGTCATCAGAGCCCACTCTGTCCTGCCACCACAATCCCCGATCCCCACAATGGACAAGCTCCTCGCCCCTCACACCCACGAAGCCACCGCTCACCACCACCTAACGTGCGTTCTCTTTTTCTATTCCCTTTCCCATTTTCTGCGCCACACCGCCGCCCTTGGCGTCGAGTCATAACGTCGCTGACGTCTGGTCCACCTACAGTGAAAACTGGCCCACATGGCATACCGACCAACCCTCCGTCGACGAGTCTCTCATTTCTGGCTGTGCTTCCTACCGCGCATTCGACCGCTACTTGGGTGGAAAGGATTTGTTTCTCTTGCCAAGAAGTCGGTCCGAGCTTGAAAGCGTTTTGTGCGTCTTTTTTCCTTTTAGGGCTCTTTCGTAATGACTCAAACCACGTCCGCTTCTAAAGGAGAAGATACGCGTACGACGCCATCCACAACGCCATCGCGAGCAGCCGTTCCCCACTGCAAACGGGAGGGTATAGCAGGGTAGGTCTAATTGTGGAGTACAATATATGCCGCTTCTGACATGCCGAATATTAGGTGTGCCACCTTGCAGAAAAGTCAATCCGGGATGTCCTGAACACCGGCGATAACGTCGATATCCTTCTTGCCCTCCACCGCCCTCCACCGCAGTCACCTGGCCGTGATGCCACCAATACAACACGCTCAAGCATCAGATCTGGCTGAGGCTTCCTCGGTCATATTTGCAATTATATCATTATTTGTTTTGGCGGCTTGTGATACCGTTCTACCATTACCTTGTGTATTAGTCCTCTTGTAACATATCCTGGCATCGTTTCTTGTCTTGTGTACCGGAGTACATACCACCATCCTTTGTACTAGCTCGCAATGCATTCATCTATCTTTAGACATGATGATCACGGCCAAAATTTCTCGTTGGCCTGAATGCTCTCCTTCCACGGCGGAGAATGCCGAATGGAGACTTTGTCGCACCACATTTAGACCAGTCCGACGCCATAAACTTCGCCATTGACAGAACAGTAATAGAGCACGAACGTGCGACGAGCCCTTCCCCTTCCATCCCTCTCTATCATTCAAGCCGGCTCTGGGAGTTCAGGCATCACTTGTCTCACTACAATCATGTTTTCCCCTACCGCCCTCCTGCTGTTCCTGGTCGGTGCTGTGGTTGAAACGGTCGTTTCATCGCCTGCACAGGTTCCTTTCCAGCTCGAGTCCTCCAGTGAGTAGTACACATCTTTGCACGTTCATACGACCTTTCTGACCGAACTTAAAAGAGCCGAGGAAGCTGCATGGCCGATTCTTGCATATCACAGATATGCATCCAGATCCACACTATGCAGCACACACCGCGGAGTCGACGGCCTGTCATAGGAAAAAGGCAAAGAAGAAGAAGAACGATTCCAGATACTATGGAACCCCGTACTCGTCCGTCATCCAAGCTATGTTTCGTGGCGCCGTCTCATTCGTATTTCACCAGAGACTGCGATTCGCCTTTCCGACTCACGAACCACACGTTGGACTTTTTGAAGGAGAACTGGGCGCACGAGATCGATTTTGTCATCTGTGAGTTAGTTCTATATGGAACCGTTTCATCTTACCGAACATGAAATAGGGACAGGAGATAATGCAAGGTAGTTTCGGGGTTACCAGGAAGAAAAACAAGCTCATCGCGTGGCTCAAGACATGATAATGACCACAAACTTCCGCGAACACCTTCAGAAATTTATGACCTCAACAGGGCTGTCGCTTCCAAGATGCAGAGGATCTTTGGGAGCAGGGGGATCCCTGTCATACCCAGCCTAGGCAACAACGACGTTTGGCGTAAGTCCAGAGTCCCCTTTTATGTAGTACTTCCTATCATTGACCCCTTGCAGCTCATGTAGGAGAATCCCCTTTTCGATGCGTTCATCATGCTGAACTCCGAGCTTCCTTTGTTAGAACATTTTAATCCCTGGTTTGTTCCGCTTTTCATCTGCATCTTTATGATATCCTGATCGACCCGTCTGCAGGTCCTAACAGTATCACGAATGAATACGCATCGTGCGTTTAAATTGCCTCTCCTCGATCTGTGATACAAACATTCTGCAGAATATGGAGCCCCTTTATCCCATTTCCGTACCTTCAAGTCTTCCAACGCGGGGCTTACTACACTGTTGAAGTGGTCCCAGATGAATTGGCTGTCATCAGCTTAAACACCATGTATTTTTACGATTCCAACAAAGGTGCATCTACCATTCGTCGGAACCGCCATTCATTGTTGACGATCGTCCACCAGTTGTCAGCGGTTGTGCATTTAAGGAACCAAATGATCCTGGCAACCTCCAAATCGATTGGTTGGAGGTCCAGTTAGAAACGTATCGGAACAGGAACATGCAGGTATGATTTATGCCATTCAATGGGAAGATGTGATGGCTCAGAATTCTCCTAGGTTTGGATTTCAGGTCCGTCATTCACGTCAATGTTCCGAGGTCGCAAAGCTGAGGCAATGGACCAGGCCATGTTCCGCCCTCTCCAGGAAACTATTTCCCGGAATGTGTTAGTTGAGTCATCCTCCAGCGCGAGTGACTGATCCAAACATTGAGATTAGTATGTTCGCTACACCGAAACGTCATTACGATACCAAGATACAATCGTGGGCCATCTGTTCGGGGTATGTCCACACAAAAGCCTTGGTATAGCCTGAACTGACTGGTCTGATGTAGCATATGAATGTCGATCATGTACGTCTTGATATGATAGGAACGCACCAAAAGCTGATCGACCTATTTTAGTTTTTCTTCCTCGAAGCTGACGATCTGAAGATTGTTCCGGACAAGGAGAATGGTGCCATCCGTACGAATCAAGGCGGGCTTTTCGAGACCCTATTGGAAGACTTTTCTGCGCTTCCGAAATCCCCGAAGACTTCAGATCTTGACGACTACGTTGTCGTCAACGTTGGGCCGTCTGTGGTTCCGAACCCATATCTGCCATCGTTCAGAATTTTCACATACAACATCTCTGAACCAACTGAATCGGGTCTAGCACCAAAAAAGAAGAAAAAGCCATCCAAACGCAAGCACGGGCATCGACGAGGCAATGAAGGAAACAAGACCCACCACTGCCAGTCCGAAGAGTACGCAGATACATGGCGGTGCCATCTCGATCGACCTTGGTACTCTGATGAGAATTCACCATCGCGGCGGAATCAGCGCTTCACCCCTCTTGGCTACGCCCAGGTCTGTCGTAATTAAGGCTGGCATCCTCGACATGCTGACACTGTTTCACAACAGTATTATGTGTCCAACCTGCACCGCGCGAACAAGACTCACGCGCCCGAGTTCAAGTTGGAATACCTGACGTACCCAGCTGATTCGCTGCACCCCGACCCAAATCAGGAGTTGCCCAAGGAGTTTTTGTATCCGATTCCCCTGAGGCACCTCCCGGATGCCCTGAGAGAGCCTGGGGATGCGAAGACGAAGTATGCGCCGTACCGCATGACGGACCTGACGATCGGATCGTGGATACGGCTGGGCCGTCAGCTGGCAGACGATAAGGGGAATAAGCTGCGAAAGAAGTTTCGAAAGTACATGTACATGGGGCGGGAAGAGGAGTAGACGGGGATAGTGTATGTCATCTGACGGAGTGACTGAGTGTGACTGATATGTACGGGGTGTGGGAATGCGAGCGTCCATCGCTGTTGTCTTGACTACCTCTCGTGCAAGTATCGTGGTGATCTGGTAACCAACCTTCATTCCGAACTCTCGAGCCCAACGGCCATTCCGCTCAATTATCGTCGTCGGCGGGAGTCTCTGTCCACTTCGTTCCGTATTTCTCTGTGCAGCCTCTCTTTTTCTTCTGCACCTCTTGAAAGGACTTTTTCTCTCTTTTATTCTTCCAGCTCATCACTTTTTGTTACTCTACTCTCCTTTATTCCCTTTCTCTTCCCATCGGCTGGCCCGTCGTCTCGTATCTCCAACCTGAGGAGCCCCACAATCCTTTGATTTCTTCAGATATCTCGACATCTCCCCCGCCGCCTCTCCCAGCATGACCGCCGTCAACATGCAGATGATGCCGACCGGGATGCCCCTAGATTTTTTGCCTGCGCACCCCTCTCACTCTCGATCCAACTCTGTCTCCTCTTCCTCGACCCACTCTTCCCACTCGCGCCCGCAGTCCTCCCACGGCGGCTTCAATCGCATGCAGCCAGGCCTCGTCCCGTCGTCGGAAGACCTCTACCGTGCCTCGTACCACCTCGGGCACCAGAATCTCATGCATGGGGACTCTGTACGTCGTATTTTCCTTGCCCTCTTCTCTGGAGGCTAATCGTGACACATCAGCAGCCCCCGAACCACAACATCACGAACCCAGCGCTGAAGGGTGCCCCTCTTCGCCCCAGTCACATCCGTGCCAGAGTGGCCGCATCCCCTTATCCCCGCGATACAGACAGCGTCCACTCCTCGTCAAGCGAGACAGAGGACATCTCGATGTATCTCGGTGCTCAGGTTCCTGAGTACCAGCCGATGTTTGGGGGACCCCCTCCCACCATGGCTCCCAGTCAGGAGGCAATGCATGCTGCAGGGGCCTTTGGTCGAATGACACTCAGCCCAGATCATGCTCTCGAAAAACTGGCGGCCAACGTTCGGGCGGCTACCACCACGAGCGCCTCTGATAGGGCGAAGCAAATTTTTGTCCAAGCCTGGTCCGTCCTCCTTATTGTTGTTGTTCTTCGTGTGGGGCTAGAACATTGACCATTTATACTAGGCTCACCGCGAACTATGCCCCGTACCCCGACGGCAATGTACCCCGCCAGGGCCTCTACTTTTCCTACCGCAGAGTTTGTGACCAGTATGGTATTCCCCACATCAATACGGCTACCTTGGGCAAAGCTATTCGTCTCTGCTTCCCCACCATCAAAACTCGCCGTTTGGGCGTCCGAGGAAATAGCAAATATCATTGTGCGCATCATTTTTATTAGAGTTCTTACTCGCCTCCCAAACATGATGCTCACACCAACTTGACAGATTGCGGCATTAGGCCTGCCACTTCGGCGGAAGCTGAATGGCTTCAGGACTATATTCACAAGTCAAATAATAATGCAGCGCAAGCCTCAGTCAACGCAGCGCGCCTCAACAATGAACAAGAGTCGGCGACTAGGAGCGAGGAGAGGTCGGATGAAGACGAAGAAGAAGACTCAGAGGGGAATGGTTCTGTCCCTGGATCCAAGCGGAATTCCCTCACGTTGGCGGGCGACATCAAGGGAATGGCCTTTACTGACGATTTGAGTGACAAGACTCCGACGGCGGCGACTCTCCTATCTCAAGTCCAATCAGCGGGCCGCCCTTCGGGTACCTTCCCTCCTCATGCTTCGATCCGGCGGCACCCAACGCAGGAGCCAAATTTGACTCTCCAAGCTCACTCTCCTGCCACCCCTAACTCTGCCACCTCCTACCTCTCCCCTCAGCAAAATTTGTCTGTTCGCCAGTTTCCTCATTTCCCCTCCATCGAAGATGCAGTCGCCAATTCAACCTCTTCCCATGGAATAGCGGCCAGAGAAGTATGGGGATGGTTCCAAGACCATCTTGATGCACTCCTGGAAAGTGTTCGCTCTTTCCGAGTCGACCAATTCGAGATGCATTTGCGCACTTTTTGGACGAACTTGAGCGGTGTGCATCGCGAAATCGTCCATGCTCCTGCTATTGCGGGTCTCATGGCTAAGGCTGATGCGATTGTATACGATGTAAGGATATCGACCTATCCAATAGGCGTCTACTCATGCACCCTTTTTATTTGCCAGGAAATTCTTGAGTTTTTGCGATCGCAAATGTTGTCGCCTATCTCGCCGTCCTCCCTGACTAGCCTGCGACAACTTCGCTATCAAGATGGAGAAGATTCTGCTTGTCGCGCTCGAAAACTATGGCAACACATTTGTTGAGCCAAAGGTAGAATTAGGCGCTCGCTTTGGACACCTCATACGTAAGTTCCTTTGTATTCGAAATCATGATCGGATCCTGATGGTCTATTCTTTTGTTTTCTAGTCCGATTCCTCGACATCTATCAAGTCACCCAAGCTTTGAACACCGTCCTTACCAACCAGAAACAACTGGCAGAAATGCGCCGGTCATGGCAGAAAGTTGATTTTGAATCTGTTCGAAATCAGTCTGCTCTGGTCTGTAACTGCCGTCATGAAGATTTGGTGCAATTGCTCGAGGTCGAGTTTGTGTCCGTTTTGGAGAGTCTGACGAAGAGCACGGAACCAGTGCGTGAGGTGATGAGCTGGGCGGATAAATGCTGCGAGAGGTTAATGGGAAGCAGCCGCACTAACCATGCTGGTCAAGAGGAGAGGGGGACGATGAGCTCTCGCAGTGTACTTATCCGATGGGGATACGTTACGAGCCAAGTCATGAGAGATCTGGTGAGTCTAATCAGACATCTAAGAATACCTCACTGATTCATTGATTGTTTCTTATCAATGTAGACTATACGCAGCGACCCAGCGTTCGGAGCGTTCCAAATCTTGAAGCTCTTCCTCGAGTAAGTGATTGGCTTGAATAGCCCTCATCATGATATGTTTGACGACGTTCTTATTTTCTTCCAGTGATTGGATCGCGGTCAACGTTTTGAGAAGCGTGGCGCTCTCCACAAATTCTGTGGCAGCGTCTGTTGAACCAGTTATGCAACAGCAATTCTTCTCTCTATCGCCCATGGCCGGACAGGAGAATTTTGGTTCGATGGATGTGCGACCTCAACATATGATGGCCCACACGCCGACGACATCGAGCATGTTGGCTGCTCTGCAGCACGATTCGTATGGCTCTGGTACTTTGGACCCCACGGGTTCCGCGTTCAATACGGATGCCTATGGGTCCATGTCGTACATGGACCCCGCGGCCTCTCAAGATGACGCTCTCGGTTCTAGCCACCAGGCGGGCCTATCCTTCTCTGATTTCACTGGTTCAGGCAACGCCTTTGACGTTTCGAGTTTCACTTCTCAGGACCTGGGACTCAACTCATCGGCCACCGAACCGGAACATGAAGCGGAATCCGTCAAGGCGGAACAGCCAGCGGCGTAATGATCATGCTGTGTATTTTCTCGATTTCTCTTTCTTGGGTCCAGGACAATTTCATCACGCACGCCTCTTGTTATGTCTCTTCGGTCGCTCCTCCTTCTGTTTATATATAGTATTGCCCTAGCTCTGTATCAATTTTGACTTTGTTGCTCTTCATTTCTTGCCTTTTAATCCTTGTAAAGAGTACCAGCTTCTCGCGGATTTTGGTTTCGATATCCTTATATCCTTACTCAATCCACCCTGTTTATTTAACTTAACCCTGTCTCTCCTTTACGAAGAACACTGCTATGAATTAAGTTAATTGAGATGCGGAAGTACTGACACGAAACTATCCAAAATGTTGTAGCTATTATGCAGAATATCAGGATGCTTCCTGCGCCTCCCCTTCCTGAACATCTTCCCGATTGATGTCCAACACGTTACTTGGCACTTCAGCGGTAGCGTCCTCGCCTGCCTTGGGAGTAGGAGTGGGCTCTGCCGGAGCCTTGCCCTGTGGTGTCGATAGTGTTGTTTCATCCTTAGCATTGAGACGTTGGATCTCCGCCTGAGCCTTTGCGATGTTCTCCGCTGTCTGGCGAGCCTGATTCGCTTCGAACCATGCCTTCTTGGTGCCAAGGTCTTCAATCACTCGAGCAGTGTCAGCGCCGGATGCGGGAGGAGGAATAGACAGTGCGAGTAGTGCAGCCAGTGTGGGAAGAGGTACGTTCAGAGCCGACGTTGGTGTTGACCCATCCTGAGCAGCGGTGCTGGCCTTGAGTCCCTTCTTGCTCTTGGCCTTGGTTTTTCCTCCGACGAAGTAAGCGTCCTCCTCTTCTCCTTTCTTCTTCCTGGCAACAAAACCCTCCGGTGCATCTTCGACCTTTCGGATGTCTAACTTGGGCACACCAGCGACTTCAGCCTTGACAGCGAGAGGTGCAGATTTGTACGTGACGTTGCCGGTGTTCTTGCCCGAGAAGTAATCGATCAGGGTTTGGCAATCTTCAACCTGGGCCTGGAAGGCAGGTACTTGAGCTTCATCGAGAAGACGTTCAGCAATCTCTCTCTTTTTCTGGGCCTCTTCAGCCGCACGCTGAGCTCGGAGCTTCTCTGCACGCCTGGCACGATCTTCGTTGACCTTCGTCCAGTAGCGGTCATTTGCTTCCCGGTATCGATTAACAGATTCACGTTTGTCGTCGAAGAGGGATTTGAGCTGGTTCTGGATGTTGTCACGTTCTTCAAAGAGTTTGTTACGACTAGCATAGGCCTCATCGCTTTCTTTCTTCAACTCGTCAAGCTCTGCCTTTATAATGTCATAACGTTCCGACGCGGCTTTCGAGACAGGATCATCCAGCTCCGCACGCAATTCCTCTATCCTCCTGCGATCAGCCTCGATGATATCTTGCTCAGCCTGGAAATTTTCGACAGTTTTACGACTCCGTTTAGCAGAGCTGATTTCCTGAAGAGCACGTTTCTCATCGGCGAGCTTCATGCTGCCAGACTCCACCTGCTTCTCCAGATTTCTGGGCCTTGCGTGAGCATCTATTTGTTATTAACAGTCGTGTAAATAACGAACTTGATGTGGGCATCGACGTCATCGACAGTTTTGAATGGGATCCTCGATTTTGCAGCTTGCAAATCTTTGATCTGCGGGGGTCACTTTGAGTAAACAATATGAGAGTTTCCGAAAACACCTTTTTCTGAATTCCATCTTGGAGGCTCTTGATCTGGTCAATGATTTTGCTTCTGGAATTCTTGTTAAAGGATTGCTGGTCCCTAATACCATCCAGTTCCGAGCGAAGAGCATTCCGACGATCATTCCCAGGACCAGACTTTGTCGCGAGAGCAATTTTGTCACGAACAGTCGCCTAGCGTCAACCCAGGAGTGTTAAACCACGTAAACGTTCTCCGGAGAAGGATTTGACTAACAAGTTTAACCTGCAAAGTATCAATCTCGGCCTTGATTTTTAGCTGTTCCGCATCATAAGCCTTCTTGTCGGGTTTTCCGCCAGCAAAAGCTGCAAGCTGGTCCGACGTGTCCTTTTTGTCGGTCGCGGAGACAGGAGTAGCAGTTCCGCTGGTCGAAGGGGCTTTGCCTTTAGCGGCACCGTTTCCATTGGAAGAGGTCTTCGATTTGGCAGCTGGCATGTCGAAGGCAGAAGATTGGATACGTGGAATTTGGAAAGTGGTCAAACTCCGGTATTCCATAATTTTAGCACGTCAGACCCTGTCTGACCGTGAGAACCTATCCAATTCTCATTGCATGATTTATGTACCAGGAATTGATCACATATCGGGCGCTTTTTCAGAGGATGGGCGTTCGTAGATGAGCTACCAGCCTTCAACTACCCACTGTGCGATCCCTCCCCCCCCAAAAAAAAAAGTCACGAGAAAACAATGGATATACAAACTGAAGGGAAGCTTTCAGTGTATACTACTTCAAAACCCGGAGATTCAGCGGCTAAAAGACTACCTTGGTGTCTAGCTTTTCCACCTCCTTGTAGCACTCGTCATACAGTTCGCTATAATCGTCATCCTTCTCCTCTTCACCCTCTTTCCGCTTTGTTTTGCGTTTCTGGTTCGGACATATCATCACACAGCTGGTGGGCCGTTTTGTCGAACTCGCATGTCCGAGTTCTTCCTTGGAGGATACGAAAATGTAGGGTATTTGGGCTTCTTCGCTCATGACTGGAAGATGTGAAACGATGTCGATAGGGTTGATGTCAGCGGCAAGGACAAGGAGGCTTTTTCAGATCTGTTAACATCTTCAACTCAAGAAAGTGCGCAGGGACGCACCCCTTCTCTCCTTTTCTTATGCCTTTGACGACTTCTTTTACGCCTCGTTTTACCTGACGCGCCTTGGACGCTACAACAATATAAACGTGAAACCCACAAAATATGGCACTTATACGAACCTTTCTTGATCGCCTTGTGCAACTTCTTCACGAGCTTCTTCTGGGCCAAGGGATGCGCAATTGGGGACAGATCTTCAACAGGAATTACAATTTCCTCTTTTCCCTTTTCCTTCTTGGCTTTTTTTGGTGACTAGAACGAACAATCTTAAGTGATTGTGCAAGAAAGAGGCTTCCAACTTGAATGAACGTACTCTTTCAGCAGACGCATCTGCCATTTCCACGTCAGCCCCGTCAGCTATTTCCTTTCTCTTTTTCTCAGATTTATCCTTGGCCATTGCAATGGGCAAAGTGTGGGGAGAGGTAGGTGTGAATATAGAGGAAAGAGAGATCACCTCCACTCGCTGCGGGCGCCAAGGGGGGAATTTCTGTGACGTGACATGTCATTACCGGGCCCTTCGTTGTGACTCGTCATAAGGAGATCCTCAAGCTGTCCCATTGGCATAAAATGAATTTCTTATTGATCTGGTTCTTCTATGTTACCAGATGGTACTTCAATTGGATTTCGAAGAAAGTTCAGAAGTACCCAGGACATTCCTCTCAATTCTGCGTCATACCACCAATTTAATGCAATGGTAAGGTCAGTCTGACGCACATAATGCCACCATCCTACAGGAAGATAGAGGGTGTCTCCTGGCATAAGGGTTACCATAATGGGTGAGACATCATTGGGAAGAGACCCAGCAAGATCTGGGTTTTGCACCGACGACCACCGTACTTGAGGGACCGCTTCCCCAGAAGGAATAAGCTCTAGTTTCCCAGTACTGTCGCGCGTGTACTGGGCATGTGGATATAGTCTCTCTATAGAATTGTCAGCATGATAAGAGAATTATGTTCTGATCTCGGAAAACCTTGTAAACACCATGAATCCGTGGGAGGTAAAAGTAAGAAATGTTTTTGACCGCGAACCACCGTGTATATGTTTTCATACGGATCTGAAAGACGACATTTTCTTCGTGCATCATTTCCAAGAAAATATGACATACCACTGTGTATGCTCGTAATACTTTGTCCGTTTCCGACCCAGAGGTTCACTGCATCCGGGACGTGGCCTATTCGATAGTGATCATGTAGCACAGAAGCACAGAGAATAACAATACCTAGGGCTTCGCTGCACCAGCCGATTTCCTTCGGGACATCTTTCAACAACGGTGCAAACTCAGAGCGACGTTTATCAGACTCAGGCTGTCGAAAAGACTCTGACGAGAACAAGTTGCCGTTCTGTGATTGGAGATACCGAATCTCTCCATTTACATGGCCATGTGTATCTGTACAGGTTAGAGATGAAATGGGATGGGGCGAAGCCTCGAAGGTCCACACCCGATATGAGCCCCGAGAGAAGGTCCTTCATAATCATCTTATCAACGGCTGGCTCGACGAAATATAGGCGACCATCGGGTCCTTCAGTAATGGCGTCAGCACGACTGCACCAAAGTGAGCAAAAGACAAGAAAGACGTCACATAAATTACTTGCCCATTAGGCGTCACTGCAACCGATATTTGACGCTCTCCCATCTGCTCAGTTAAATACTCATCGCTCCATAGCTGCAGAGCAGGAACATGGAACCCTGGATGATCGCGTCAAAATAAGCAGGGTAGAACATCCACAGGTCTGCGTGCCTTTGATGATGACTGGTCTTGAAATATGGATCAGACGAGCGAACTCTAGGGCTGTTGGTGGATAGTCCACAACCTCGACCGTAGTACCATTAAGGTCTACTCTCGAGATTGGAGTAGATCAGATCATTGTTGTAAAATGCCACTTTGAATGCTACACTCACCGCGGTACTCGTTTGACAGCCAGTGCACGGAGGAACTGAAATCCATTGACAGGAAATTGTGTGACGGTTCGAGCTCAAGGAAGAGAAAGATTTCAGGACCGGAATACTCGGGCCGGGAGGTCTTGCCCGTGACAGGGCCCGTGACTTCGGAACCGAGACTTACGACAACCTCACTGATAGTACAGTGTACACTACACTGACACTGATAGGTAGCGTAAGGCCTGCCAGTGCAAGTGGGGTTTGGCACACCGACCAAATGTTTTCCCCACTTTGAAACGCAGGTTTTCCCTTTTTTTGCCAGGTCGGACAAACAAAGACAGAGTTGAGCCTCTCCACGAACTCAGTCTCGCTCAACTATCACCGATGCCACCCAAACGTACTATTGACGATATTGTTGAAGGCGTTCGCCTTCCTAGCGATTGGGTCGACGTACTCACTGGGCACCCAGATGTCGCGGTTCTTCTCGCCTTCATTGCACAAAGGAGTGGTGTAACTGACCAGGAAATCAAGAGGAGCAGGCTGAAGCTTCCATCCTTTTTGCAAGCCAAATGGGGAGAAGTTGCTGCTAAATTCAATTTCCCACTCGCTGCGAAGTGGTTTTCGCTTGAACGATTCTCGCCCCCTATCTGCTTTCTCCCGCCATCCATCCACAAAAATCTATTCCAGGGAGGGTGGCGAATCATGGACGTATATCAAGAGAGAGCTCATCAAGATCGCGAAGCTGCAAGGGTCAAGCTACTCGAGCCGGTAAGTCGAGTGTTTTCGTGCGAGGGGGCTGGCTAACTTCGAGGACCGCAGTGGTTTGTGCCAATTCTTGCCCTCTTTGAGGGCAGGGTTATAGATACACAAGGGTCAGTCATGGTGCCCACACAATTCTCTACAGGTGGTGCTGTAGAGCATGAGGTATGGACATGCAGTGTTGCTTCTTCAAGGAATATCAAATTTTAAGACGCTTGCAGGTCGTCATGATTGGGGGGGCCTTGTTCCTTGTGGTCGAGATGAAGCTTGGTTTGGATAAAGATGACAATTTGGTCCAGTTGTTTCTCGAGCTTCTATGTACGTTTTCAGTAAAATGCCCTTCACCGTACCCATACTATGACAGCGGCGGCAGAGGCGAACAAACGCTCCGGCTTTAACATCACAAGAGTGTATGGCCTTCTGACTGACCTCTCTAGCTTCCGATTTTACTCCTACGATCCGTCATCCAAGTCCTTTTCCTTTGACGAGGACGTTCTTACAAATGCAAAACGTGACGATTTCTGCTTTGATATGATCTATGGTCAGACGAAACCAATTTGATACCTCCGGGGGCTCGCTAACGCCTTTCTACTCTAGTAGCGAACAAGATATTTAGTGTGATCATGTGTGGATATATTGAGGTTCTCCGCGCCACTGTACAAACCGGCAAGAGAAAATATCAACAGGAAGGTGTGCGTTTCTTCCCAGTCCTGTTCCAGCAGAAGCTGCTTGCTCATTTTGATGCTCAGTTGACCCCAGTTGGTTCCGGGCTTATGCAGCAACTGATTCAGACTCCTTCCATCCTTCCCGCCTCTGTGAGTTGCTTAGCTGTCAGTTTACCTAACACCAATTCCTGGTCCAGCACCAATCCCAGCCCCACTCCACGACCCATACATCCCTTTCTGACTGGGAGAAAGGGCTTCTTCGAGCAGAGGCAGCATACGCAAAACTTCAAGAAGTGCCCACCAACCTGGAAAACTTGGAAAGCCGCGCGTCGGAAGGGCTGAAACTCCTCGTAGAAAGGCAAGCATCTCATTATCCCGTCCTCCCCTGTCACCTCTTTGTTAGGGCATCTGATCTAAATTCATTCCCTAGTGCGCGCTGCCTACCTCGAGTTTCGGCATTCACTTCAGACGTACAGCCTATTACAGCTGAAGAGCTGGAATTGGTAGCAGCTGAGAGCGTCAAAAAGTGGCACGAAACATTCCTTCAGCGTCTCGATCACTCCTCGAAATAGCCCTGTTTTGACTACTGAACAAAATTGACCTGATAAGCCACCACAAGTGGTCGCCGTGCACCCACAGGCATAATGATACGAGTTGGATTGGACCCGTGGTTTGAATTCGAATTTTGCTTGACCGTGTATCGTTCCGTCTCGCCACTTTACCGAAATTAGAGTGAGTTGTAAACACCAAGAATCAGTCAAGATAGAAATTGCTCTTAGCCACGAGCCACCGTGTACAGGTTCTTGTAGGGATCTGAACGAATGGAATCATGTTCATGAATTATTCGACTGAGGGAATTCTGACATCTCACCGCTGTGTATGATTGAAACACTTCGTCAGTTGCTATGGCATCTTGTCGACTGTAGGGACGATGAAATATAGGCGACCATCGAGTTGGGTCCTTTAATAATGGTGTCAGCAAAAGGAGAAACAGAAAAAAAAGAAATGTAATATATTACTTACCCATTTAGCGTCAATGCAACTGATATCTGACGTTCTCAGACAGATATTCGCCGCTCCGAGCCCATAGGTCATTGATATATATCTGCCCTCGCAAATTGGAGCGGACTCGATTAACGTTACAAATATACATAAACTCACCACGATACTCCTCTGACAGTAGGCCGACCGGAAGAACTGATCTCCATTGAAGGTGGTAGCACACAACAGTTCGAGATCAAGTATTGAAATTTGAAAGACTTCGGTGGCCCGGACCAGGATCGGAATGATCAGACCGCGACGCGTCAATCCCGTGACCTCGGAACCTGACTTAAGACGCGTCAACTTCCTCTCAATGGCTTCCATCTCCTCCAACGCAAAGGCGACTCTGGCGCTTTGCTGCCTGTTTCTAAACCCTGAACACTGCGAGACCCATAAAATACCTTCGTTGTCCACCCCATGGCTCCGGACAAACGAAGAAACGGTTCAGCTAGCAAAGCTCAACAGTCAACCAATGGAGTAGGTGTAACCGTATCTACTCCCTTCACCTAATGTTTACGGTTTTGCTACCTAGATAGCTCAGAAGAAGGCCTCCATGAAGCAGAAGACGCTCTTTGATTCTTTCTTGAAGAAGGGTTCACCCTCATCGTCGCAGAGTGCTGAGGGAAATACACAACCTGCTTCACAAGAGGCATCAACCCCAGCAATTTTCCCGCTTGCTGAATCTAATTCAACCAACTCATCTGTTGGAAATAGGTCGTCATCATCTTCAGGAATTACGGAACTAGGTGTGTCCTAGGCTTAACTCTCAAAGGATGCTGTGTTCATAATCTCCAGTTGCAAAGACGGCCAACAATTCCTCCGACATTGACGGGGACCGACTGAGGCATAGTCGGAGTCCATCTCTTGTCATTTTAACAGATATGGTAGTTGCGCCATCTGTCGATTTGGTTCAAGGCGACGATGTCGCTTTAAGTCCTCAAAGAAGTGTTCAGTCACAGGGACTAACGAAGGATGCACCAATAATTATCCCCTCTTCGCCAATTCCTTCTGGGGTGCCCTCAAATCCCAACAAACCCATTCACCCGTTCTTCGCCTCAAGAGCAAAGCCCAAGGCCGAACTCGCTCCTACTTCCATCCCAGCCACCCCTACTATCCCTACCAACAAATCTGCGGCTCCTTCAAACTATCTTCCACCATATCCAGACATTATTTCTCAACACGTCAAGGGGTCACAGACCACTCTCGAACTATCTGCGAGACCACTGCCTCCTCGACTCACCAAACCACCCATGATCGAACCTCATGAGGCCCACAATTATAAATTCTTGCAACGCAGTAACAATATCGAGACAGTCGACAACTTCACATCTCCATCACTCGACGACCCCAACCCAACCCACTCCTGCGAGATACCGCCAGCCCACAAACTTACTCATCCAGCGATTGCGCGGCTTGCGGATGTCGTCTCAGACGACATCCCTGTCTCTCAACGGCCATGGACAGAGAAATGGCGTCCTACATGCGCACAAGAGGTTCTGGGAAACGAGCAAAGTGCTCTGTACCTTCGCGACTGGCTCCGTGCTCTCGAGCTACAGTTTGAAGAAAACCAGCCACCACCCGCTAAGGATGATCAACAGACCTCAGCACCGAAAGGCAAGCGCAAGCCAGATACCAAGGGTACCAAGCGTCCTCGAGTGGTACGGGTTGTTGATAAGTCCAGAAGACGAAAGAGAGCTCGTCTTGACTCTGACGAAGAGGACGATTGGATTGTCTATACCGACGAAGAAACCGAGGAGGAAGTATTTCAGGAGTCAGAATCGGATGATTTCGACGATATCCGTCAACTGCCATCGAGCTCTCCCTCCTCGTCTGTGCCAGATATTCTTCCAGCCATCCCAGAAAGCCAGCTGCAGGGTTTGGATCAACCTCAGGATTTCGGTCAACTCCACAATACAATCCTCTTGGTCGGACCTTGTGGAAGCGGCAAAACGGCAAGCGTCTATGCTTGTGCAGAAGAGCTAGGGTGGGACGTATTTGAAGTCTATCCTGGTATTGGTCGACGGAATGGCGCCAACGTCGATAATCTCATTGGCGAGGTTGGCAAAAACCATCTGGTCCTCCAGAACCGTGGCCAAGCCAGCGACGTCATGAAGTCTTTTCTTAGGCGAAAAGGGAAGTTTGCGGACGAGGAAGGGCCTTCTTCAAGCAGTTTCCTACCATCATACTCCCCTCGTAAGAAGGTAGCTTCTCCTGAGACCGGCGACACAGCCGACGCCACCCCAGTCAAGCCTGTCCGACAGTCATTGGTCTTGCTCGAAGAGGTTGACATCCTCTTCAAGGAAGATTCAAATTTCTGGACAACTGTCACTCGTATTATCAAGGAATGTAAGCGGCCAGTCATTTGCTCGTGCAACGGTATGTTCGAAAAGGCGACGATGACCCGCAAAGCCAACTAATTTTGGTCTAGATATTTCACTTGTACCCCTTGAAGACCTACCCTTGCAAACAGTCCTTTGGTTCACACCTTGCCCCCCCGACGCGGCGGTGTCGTATCTTCAAGCGTTGTGTTCCGCTGAAGGTCATTCAATCAACCGGACCACTCTTTCTCAACTTCAGAGGGATCTTCAACCTGTCAGCAGCGATCTGTCAGAAGGCTCTTCGCATGGACGCCTTGAACCTGATCTGCGGCGAACTATAAACTCATTGCAAGTTGCGTGTCGCAGTATGAACGGAGGCGTTCCGGAAATTGGACAAGAGAGGGGCCTTCATCCTGAGCCGAATTCTACCCGGGATCGGAGTGCACTTCGGGATGTTAATGAAACCCCGCGAGCGTCCATGAGGCGCAGCGAGCTGATGTCATATCTCGATGGCGATTTCGCTCAGGGCTTTTTTCAGCTCCTCGTGGTAAGGAGACTTGGATCTGGCTCGATGGTGTGCTCACATTAATCTACGCAGGCGGCAGATCTGACGAGCCATGCTCCATCGGACGACGATGAGAACGGACACGCCATCCTCCGTGTTCTGCAGGGCAAGGAGGCAGCGTTTGGGACGCTCGATCAACACGAAGACATAATATCGAGTGCCATCCAACTTGCACGTGGGCTATTTCATGTGGATGTCAGTCGAGATGAAGAGGAGGCCGAAAGGAGCGCAGAACAGCGGTGTAGAATCCAGCGGGAGCAGAGAGCTGTGCTGGCGGAAGTATGCCCGAAGGCAACCTGGACGAGACGCGATGGATCCCTTGCACTTGACTACTTGCCGATCTTGCGACAGATAGTGGAGGTTGAAGATATGGAGCAACGGGAAGTGGCGAATCGGGCCCGAGGCGGAAGATTGACACGGAACAGCATGCGCAGTAGCTCTAGGCGTGTGTTTGAGGTGACGGATGCGTGGCGGGAAGCGCTCCTGGGTCATGGGCTTAGCGTGGACGAGGGAGCGTGAGTGTAGCGTGGGGTGGCAGAGTTGCACGATGTTGTTGTTTACGTTAGCAATATAACCCGATTCGGTGGAGGCATGCGACTCTGCCATATTGGTTCGTTGCGAGTTGGACGCTAATGAGACTCTCTCTTCCGGCCATAATCTCGCCTCCCCCGCAAACAACAGCGCGCGCGCGCGCCTCCCCGTCCTGACCAGCGACCATGTCCAGCAATCACCCCCGCGACTCCTCCGCCAGGCACTCCCCAATCGCCTCCCTCGCCTCCCTCGAATACCTCCAAAACCAGCGTCGAGGTTCTATCACCGACCCCTCTCTCCATGCTGCCCATATTCCATCCGGCATCAAGCTCAATCCCACCTATCGACTCGACCAACTACCCGCCGCGTCATCAGGGCCGTCCTCTGAGACGTCTTCCAAACCCCATTTACCCGACCCTCGTCCATCCTCTCCTTACGTCTTTGGGGATGCGACTCCCCACTCTACCGAGCATTCTTCGCAGCTCAGGAAGCTTCTGCACTCCCCATCCACAGAACACACCCTCCTCCGGGGTAGTTCATCTTTGTCTCACGATTCACAAGACCCACCTCGATCTCATGCAGGTAGGGAGATCGAGTAATACAACGGCGCAGGCTAATTTCGTCCAATCCCAGGCTTGAACATTTCAAAGGAACCCAACCAGATGAACGTGGACAACGACAGGCATGTGTTTTTAGGCCGTAGGGGAATTCGCGACCCTCCTTCCTTCGACTTCAACATGCGACGGCATTCCATCGCGGTCGGTCAGAACCCAATCACATTGCCGCATCTCTCATCCACTCTGGGCACCAAGAGGAAGATGTCTGGAGATCGCGGTATTTTTGCCCCAGTTGGAGAAGACGTTGACCCTCAACTTACCGGACCTGGCGTTCCCAGCGGCATGGATGTCGACGCCGATGCACCAGCACCGAAGCGACGCGGGTCTACGATTGATATGCAAAGAATAGCGCAACTCAGTCTTAACGACCGTCGCAACTCAGTGGATTCTCGAGGAAATCAATGGCTGAATGATCGACGCGAGTCAGCACCATCATTATATCCCAACGTTCCGGGCATCAGTTCTTTCAACACAGGGTTCAGCCCTTCAGAATCCCAGCATGTGCGGGCACCCCCAAGCCTGGCGGCGTTTTCATGGCCACCAAACTCCGATTCTTCGGCTTCTGCGACTTCCACAGTCCAAAGCGAATCAAGTCACAGTTCTCGCCAGTTTGATCCCATGAACCAGATGAATTTGGTACCGCCAATAAGTTACCCTCCCGACCGCCGGATGTCCGTCCCAGACGCTCTCGCACACCCTACGTCTTCAAGAACCCTTCGCTCACGTTCTCGACCGCCATCACGTCAAAATACGGACCCTAACACTCAGTCTGGCCCGTCATCGGGTCAGGATGAACCTCCTAGTACGTCTGCACCCCATCACAATACAAAACTCACCAAAGAAGTTGGCTCGACACCATATTCTCGTTCTCCTGAACTTCGAGTTTCACATAAACTTGCAGAAAGAAAGAGACGGAAAGAGATGAAAGATTTGTTCGATGAACTTCGGGATCAGCTGCCGGCGGATCGAGGTATGAAAGCGAGCAAATGGGAAATACTCAGTAAAGGTCAGATTGTCGGCAAACTATTTTTCTCACTCCAGCATTAATCACTTCAACAGCGATCGACTTCGTCGCACAGTTGAAGCGTTCTCATCAAGAGATGGCTCAAGAATTGGAGATGTTACGGCAGCAAGTACACGGTCAACGGACCGAACCTGTTCCGGTATATGCCCCTGGTGGCCCACAGCCACCACACTCTACATATAGTCAATCATCGTCCATTGGGGGATCTTTTCCGCCTCCCCTCATCCAACCATTGCAAGCCCCCCCTCCAACCCAAACTCAGGGAAATCTAGCCGATTCTCGATCCAACTCATCTCAAAGTCTGTTCCCAACGCCAGTAAATTCCTCGTCGCAAAATGCGAACGGTCACAGACTAGAATCGTCTTCGAACTGAGCAGGAGTATCATATATTTATTGGTTTGTACATCAGTTTCCCTTGAACGAGCATGATCTTTTTCGCACTGGCCGTATTTACTGTGGACAATAGAGTAAGTATTTCTTGAACTTCTCCCTCTATCCCTCATTACTTGGGATTCGTTTCCGATTTGTTCATATCCATACTCTCGCAGATATCTGGCATGTCTTTGGTGCTCAATGTCAGCATTTTATGATAAATTTCACAACCATTATCCTTGTTCATCCGGAATGCGCTGCATAGAGATTTAATTGGTATTAATACCAATTCACTCCGACCACATTCGACCATCCTAAGGGACCAGCATCTGAATCGAGATGTTATTCTATGCCGCCAGCACGACAAGGACATCTACAGCAGGCCCTCAGAACGTAGTGCACCCATGATCAGGTAGGCAGATCGTTGATCTCGATCGACACCAGTCCAATCGCCTCGCTTCCATTCCTTTACATCGTCGTTATCCCAAGCATAAGGATTATCATCCTGCACCCTCTCGTCGACTGGTTGCAACAGGCTCTTTACTTCTTCTTCACGATCCCACAACACATCTTCCCATTGTGCATCGCTGATTGTCACTGCCACCGTCTTCGCATCCGGGATGTTGGGCAATATAGAGGTCAACAGATTTGAGAGGAGCTCCGACGTTCCGTCAGCGACAGAGGAATGGAGGGCTGGTAGAGGAAGATATTCCGCCTAGAACGAAATCGTCGATGAGACCAAAAGAGAGACAAAATTGAAGGTGCCTACCTCCAAAAGCATGCCTTTGATTGCACCTCCAGCTAGAGTGACAGTTCCAATTCGCACAATCCAATCTGTACCAATGGAGAACACTTGGCCTTCAATTATTAGCTGCTGTCCACCCGTTTGATTTCTCTGATTGTTGCTAGAAGTAGTTTGGCGTACGGAGATCCAACGAGCTTTGATTTGGGCCAGCAATTGTTCTAACGCCCCAGGAGGCTTGAGCGTCAGGAAGGTGTTCCTAAAGTGAGAAGGGCCTTGTAGGAACAGCGCATCCTTGCCAGGGGGAGCAGCAGCCAGAACATCTGCTCTGCTAGGAGCAGCAGGATCTTCAAGTAGAATGAAGACATTCTCTTCCATCGTAAGTGCATACATGGTGCGTTCGACCGGAACTTGATACCCCGGTGTTTGGCCTAGCATTGAACGATATGATTTCAGGGAGATGTGCCATTTGCCCCGAGGAATGGCCTGGAGCGACATCAGACACAGACCGTAAGAGAGAAAAGCTCCAACAGCCATACGCCGTGATTAAGTACAAGATTCTCCCAAACTAGTTGTTGGCCACTGGCAGGTGCATTCAGCCAGCGGGCGAGTCTGTCTAGATCCGTGTCAGTTCTGAGCAGTTCGGGAGACTGCCAACCAACCAACCCGGTGAAGCCCATATCTCCCCGAAGTCAGTCACTGCTTTGACAGGCTCAAGATGGCCGAAGAGGCAAGACTCGATCTTCAATAAGAGAAGTGTCTTGAAAGTTTAGAGTTTAGAAGTCTGAAGCTCAAGTTCGAGCTGTGCACCTGTGTGACAAGCCGTTTATCTTCACGTGAGCGTGACTGACCGCGTCGTGACCATTTTAATTTACCGCAACAACTTGCTCACTCCAAGTTTCCACCACTACTCAGGAGTCAGCTATATAAAGGCATGGTCAAACGCAAAAGATCTGCCCTAAACCCAGACGAAGATAGCGTGTCCAAGCGCCAGCTTCGTTCGAGTCTGGCTGTTTCTTCGTCAACACCGAGTCGTTCGACCCGGTCGTCTGCAAAGCAAGTCGCGTCCCCCTCCAAAGGAAACCCTCATGGCCCTCTCGCTAAGGATGACACGGGAGACACAGACGAAGACAGTGCAGATGAGCTTGCTCTACAGCCACAGACACAATCACCGAGTACTCCCTGTACAGGGGCTAGAGTGACACGAACTTATGGACGAAAGGACCGACTCCAGTATAAGAACCAGAAGCTCACCGATGAGACAGACTTCCCATGCGCAGACCCTGTTGGCACTCTAGATTCAGACGACGAGCCTCTTACGATGAAGAGACGAACCCGTAGGGGAAAGCCGGCACCCCAGGGCGCTGAGGGTGCGTGGTCCTGATCCTGTGTTCAGAATTGCCCTCTGATAGGAAGGGAAGACGTTAGCGTACCTATCACAGAGCCTGGAAATGCCTCTCGTCTTGTGAGAAATCACCCTTTACAGTCGCCGCGGAAGAGAACAACGCGTTCAGTCGCGGTTGAGGTCACCATACCCATAACTCTGAAGAAGGCAAACGCCCAATCCCCATCCCCCCATCCCCCTGATACGTCACCCTCTAATGCACACCCTCTTCTTTCGGAGCCCGTAACACCTGATATCGTGTTAGAGCGGACTTCCGACCGCAACAACATCGATTTCTTCTCCGAAGCTGACACCCTGCATCGAGACTTACATGGCCACCTTAACGAACAGAAAAAGCAAACTCTTCTTTCTCTCCAACGAACATCGTCGAAACCGAGGGGCCATGGTGAAGAGGGCCCTTCGTCCGTGAACGATTCTGCGGCAGCGCAATTATCGGAACTGATTAACGGAACGGTTATGCGGGCGGAAGGGAATAGCTGTCTTCTACTCGGTCCTCGTAGCAGTGGTAAAAGCAGGGTATGTGCCTCTATTGCCGTAGTTGCTTCATTTTAGGCTCATTGTGCGCATTGCACCAGATTCTCGAAAGTTGTCTACACACCTTGCCCATGAAACCAATTCTCCTTCGACTGTCCGGATGGATACAGACCACTGATCGCCACGCCTTACGCGAAATAGCCGTCCAACTCCTGCAACAAACTGGCTCTTCCATTCTACCCGGTTCGGAATCGGTACCAGAGCCTCAGACCAACGTGGAAGAGGAGGAAAACCCTTTCCTCGACCCAATTGATGACGCCACCAAAATTGTAGAAGACCAAAACTTCCGTCTTCCTCCCTCCTCCCACCTTCACGCCTTGATACCGATCCTCCTGACGCTAAATCGTCCAGTGATTGTGATTCTCGATGCCTTCGATCTTTTTGCCCTACACCCACGCCAATCCCTTCTGTATTGCCTGCTGGACAACGTTCAGAATAGCCGTGCAAGCTCCGAGAGTCGAGGAATCGCCGTCATCGGAATGACGAGTCGTTTGGACACAGTGCAACTCTTGGAGAAGCGTGTAAAGAGTCGATTTTCTGGGCGAACGATACGCACATCTCCACCGAACGGCTTCCAAGACTGGATGGATACGATGAGACGCGCATTGCGACCTTTCTTGTCAGGTAATAGTGAGAAGAGTGACGAGGAATGGGGTCATTGGTGGGGAGCAAAAGTTGAGGAGTTCCTGACGGATCCCGAGGTTGTGAATCTGTTGAATGAAACATTCAGCATCACGCGAGAACCTAAATTAATGGAGCGGCTCCTGGTTCGAACTTTCCCTGCTCTTTTCATAACAACACCAGCATTGACATTTCTACCCTTTTCAGAGGACACCCATACTTCGTCTCAATCCAAGCGAGCCACATTTGACGTTCAAGTCTCTCTGCATTTCTGCGGAGACTCAGCGAGCTCGACCCTCCAATCTACTATTCACCAGTACGTTGTGGATGTCGGCTTCGCCACTTTCATTTCATATATATGTTTAGATTTATCATATCCGGCCATGTGCTTGTTGATCGCCAGTGTTCACGCAGACACGTCTGGCCACCCAATTTTCACATTCGAGATGCTTTTTGATTACTTCCGTGATCAGCTTCGTGCATCGACAGCAGCGCCGGTTCAGGTGAACGGCGGAAACATTGGAATGGTTCGTTGTACGCGCGAAGTGCTCATGGCCGTCAGTCGTCGCTCCTTTGAGGCCACGCCACCTATTAATACATTTTTGTTGCAGACTTTCGATGGCCTCATAGCCTCGAAGACGTTTGTCTGCGTAACAGGCCCCTCCTCGAACATTAGTAAAGAATTCATGAAGTACAGATCCAACTTACATAGAAGCATCGTCAAACCCATCATAGACAAATCTGGTCAAATTCACCTCAAGAAGTGGCTCACTAAAGCCCAATGAAATACCGGTTTCCTGCTTTCGATCATTGAGTTTGTACTTCGGTTGTATTATTAGTGTATTACTATCAATTCAATCATCGCGGTGGATTAATGATATGGCCGTGTTGCACGTCTTGTCCGACGTGTGGAATAAGGAGTATCACCTGGAACCTGGGTAGTACGACATGGGAGTATGCTGGTATCCTACTGTTGGCCATGATCGTCATCAGACCAGAATGAATGCAAGTGCTCATCCTCTCTAGCGGTTGAGCACAGCGGCATCATGTCAGACACTAGCAACATCATTCAACCTTTCCCCCCTTTGATGCACGATGACAGAATACTCACCATCGACCTCCGGAATGTCCTCTAATATGGTGAAACGGGGAAGCAGTTTTCTGGTGCGAGCAGATATCTTGCGTATCGGCTTCCGGTGTTTCTCAACACTCGAAACTTTGGTTTGCTTTATCAAGGCTTTGAAGTTGTCGTCGAAAAAGAGGCTGTCGTCCCATGCGCTGGCCTCTTGAACAAGTGCGTCCATCAGGTCTAGCAGTTTATCGGAACTATCTGTAGCCACCGATCCGAGCAATTTAGTTGTCAGCGAGCGCTGCATATATGGATGCGGCCCCCCTGGTTCCTCCTGGGAAGGATGTTTATTATCGCCGGCGTTGGGTTGATTCTGGATTGTAGCTCCCCTGAACGGTTGGCGGGTATGACTTTCACAATCAGACGGTAAGAACATCATCCGCAGAGGAGATGGCCCTATTTTTGGGCTGCGCGAGTTTCGATTGTGGGGTGCTTTTGGGCTTGCTTTCCGGATGTGCAAGATAGCAGAATTCGGGTATTTAGTAGGTGGGGTTGTGGGCTCAGAGGGACTTGTTTCAGAGAAGGGGTTCTCGCAAGACACCAGTAAGAATTCGCCGAGGATAACAGGCGACATCTCAGCATGTCCAGAACAGTCAGAAGTTACGTGGGGCGGCAAATGGCTAGATTCTCGGGTTTCCAGAATATCATCCTTTGCATATGCGTATGCGTCTGTTGGAGGTGCTTGATCATCTTGGGGTTCTTGTACAGCCTCTTGAACAGCAGACGAAGGTCGAGGTAACGATTTCTTCGCGAAATTCTTGCAATGAGGGAACAGTAACACAGCTTCGGGTGGCTGCACGCCTATTTGAGAGTCTGCTGCTAAGAATTCTCGCTGCGTGTATGAACTCGAGAGAACGACCTCGGGATAACGGCCGACAGACGGAGAAGCGGACACCCGTCCTTCTGGTAGATGCAACGGTGATGCAAAAGGGTCCTTGATGGCAGCTTTCTGAGAGCAGAAATTTGGGGACAACTTCAGAGGAAGGAGCCTAGGCGTTCGCTCTTCAAATGAATCCGGAGAATACGAGTGCTTTCCTTTAACAGGAATGGCGGCTTCGAAGGGCTGATATGGCGTAGAAGGAGGGTTCTCCAGTCGAGTAGAAAAGCTAGGGCTTGGAGACGATGAAAGACGACTAGATACCTTCGCAAGTGCAGACGAGCAGCGCGCCTCCCAAGATGGTGACCCAAGAAACCCGACCAAGAAACCCGACTTGCCAGCAGGCGAACTTCCAGAAAACCGCGAAGAAGTCGAAAAGGTATCACACCAGCCGTTAATAGATCGTGAGTCGCTCGGTCGCCTAGAGGACCTAGTAAACGCAGAGACGCAGCGATTTCTGCGAGCGAGAAAGAGCCACTTCATGCAAAAAAGAACGATAATCAAAAGTCCTAATGACAAAGCTGCGGCGAAGTACGATGATCTTTGAGGATGTGCAGAACTTGCCTGAGGAACTGGAGAAGCCTCGACTCCTGGAGATTGAGTGCCGGCAAGAAACAAGGCAGCAAGCAAGACTATCCTTGGAGACTCATGCGACATTCTATAGACGGGATCTCAGGAACGCAGACCTTGGTGGAGAGTTCGGAAGTGACCTCTACTTGCATTCATCTTATTGTCACAACTAGGCTGCAACCCCTCCGTCACAACCGGGGAAAGTTACCAACTCAGAGATAAGTACTGGTATTCTTGACATTTACAACATAACGGATTTATATTACAGCCCCAGTTGCTGTTTAATCAATAGTCCTGGGCTGACGCTTCATTGAGTTGCTCACGGGCTACAAGTGGACTTCATGAGAGGGGCCTGAGGGGAGGGCAACTTGAATGACCAAATACATACCATGATGCTTTGCTCTCTTGCGGTCGACGAAGTCCAACTAACCGAAAACTTCGTCAGCATCCAATTCGTACGTCAGTCCGTATGCTCTACTCACGCCCTTGGTTTCCACCATGCGGTCGACAAATGCACCAGATAGGGCAGCACTGTGAGGGATGTCAAACTGGAGTGTGATTGCCCACCTAAGGCAAGACTCACAGCATTTCCTTAGCTTTGGCGTGATTTTCAGGTTGACCATTCTGTGCGACATGATCCTCGTATGACTTAGCAGCCTAGAGCGAAATCACATAAGCAGAACTACAGCAATCAGTGAAATGTACCTCATACGAAGCAGCTGCGGCGATGAGCTCGTGCGACAGCTTGGCTTCGCGAGGGGCGTTTATGACCTGATTACGGGCAATGATTGATGAGCAACTGAGGAGGGTACGAGGGACGAGCAGTGTACTTGGTCATAGGCCTCCTGCTTATCAGAGTCGTTGTCGAACCAGCCCATGTTGTTAGCATTGAATGTTGGTAAGTAGGTGGGGAAGTGATGGGGAAGAAAGCCTGGGGTGAATTGGCAGGATTTTTATAACTCCCCAAGAGCGCAATCACGCCTTGCACCCCAAGTGTTAGCGAGGTACGGGTGGGTCAACCCACCCCCATGAGAACCTGGAGTTATTTTTGTCAAGTCTTCGGGTGGTGTTTCGAGATAAATTTAGCAGACCTTTTGTCCTGGAGGGCGCCGGAGACGCATGATAATAGACCCCAAAATGATGTAAACACCTGGGCGTTCGAGATATGGCGGTGGTATGAATTGAGTAGACGGGCAATGGCCGGCGCAGTTGCAACGAGGAACGGTTCAAGTGCGACGTGGGTTAAATATAGATGGTGGGAGAGGTAATTTTGCAGCGCAGTGGACAGAAATAGGCTTTGCATTGTGATGGCCATCGCCAACGTGTTCTCAAAGAAACCATGGACCTATGGCAGCGGGCAGGTCTGAGCCTGCGTGTGAATATTACTTGAGATGATGTCACCTCGTTACACGTGATGTCAACCCGATGACGAGGTGAGTCGCGACCACCATCCGCAGGGCCTGTCCAGGGTGCACATTCTTGAGCCCCAACCTATTCGCGAAGCGCTCGCTGGCTTACATTTGTATCAGAAACTCTTTTCAGCCATTTTCCTTGCATGCAAGAAACCGACTTCCGGACCTTCGATGTTCATTCAGTCTCATACGATGTCTGGTAGAAAGACTGAAGAGTTGGCTCTGCAATCCCTGTTTTCAGAAGATTACGTCAATGAATCGTAGGTGGCTCCCTGACTTCTGACATTTCTGTGCAGAAAATCATAATGTTATGTCTCAAGCCATATTGAAGCCTTCGCTCACGCCCTGCGACTCGACGAATCGTACTTCGATCATCATGGCTACACATCTTCACCACACCCTCCTGGAACCCCCGCATCTCCCACCCTACCTCGCATACGAAAGGTCTCTGCCCTTTCTGACTTTGCTCCAGTGAACTTGAAAGTAAAGAAGTGAGCCGGAGCTTACCATGTTCCCGAGCCGCTGTTCTGACATTCACTAGGCGGAGAAAGCGAGACAAAACAGATAAAAGACACGATTACCTTTTCATACTCCTTCGCTGGCCGCTTTTGGTGAGCCCAAGAGCGCAGAACATGGGTCACGACTAATGATATTCGTGCAGTTCTTCATATTTCTGTTTATCATGGGGGAATTCGGGCTGTACGTTATCATTAGGCAACTGGTCAATACCAAGGAGTGGATATCAGCATGTAAGTTAGCATCACCTTGTATGAACGCTTCCGTGAACGTGTTGTTATAGGGAGGGGAAAGAAGGGCCAGCTGCGGAAGAAGTTGCGGAGCGCACGGACATACGACGTCAGCCTACTGTATAAAAGACTGAGGGGGAAAACACTGATTGTTAAACACAGGAATGGAAGGACGCTGCCACGACGATGGACAAGTATCTTAATTTTGAGGACTGGAAAAAGGTCGACGAAGATCCTTTTTTCGATTGGATGCTAGTACGCAAGGTGGGTCGCTTCTACCCTCAAGTCAGCACTTCTTATGAGCTATTCTCGTACCACAGGTGAAACGCTCGCTCAAAATCCTTCGAGAGAAGAACGACGTGAGAGGTTGTTTGGGTGTACTAGAGACATGTATACGTTCCAATTTCGCGGCAGTGGAATCATCAAGGTTGTTGCTATACCGTCAACACCTGCGTCTCACTGACCACACCGTTTTTTTCCAGGCTGTACAGCGAAGTACGTGGAATGCGGAAGCCTCTTAGATGATAAGTTGATTGGTTTGGGGTAGACTTTTCTTGGGACGAAAGATCTCATCGAATGTAAGTGTTTGTAATTGCTCCCAATGTGAACACTTCCAACAACATTACAGCCTATTTTGATGAGCTTGAGCGATCGTTACGATGTATCCGGGATGCACCAGAACTATCTCTGGAGGAGAAGAAACGATTCTTCAAAAGTGCTAATACAAATCTGGGTGAGCCCCGTTTTTGGAATCTGTTTTTCATGCAACTGAGAACCGCAAAGGGATCTCCGCATTGTGCCTTTCTGGAGGAGCTTCGTTCGGCTATTGTGCGTATCTGTAGTCCCATCTTCAACCCTACACTACAAAGACAATTCTCAGATCATGTCGGAGTTGTCAAGGCCTTCCTGGACGCGGGACTACTTCCCAGAGTTATCACTGGGACCAGCGCTGGTGGCCTCATTGCTGCTCTTACTTGTACTCGGACAAATGAAGAACTGAAGAATCTCCTGGTCCCACAGTTGGCACATAGAATCACTGCCTGTGAGGAATCTTTCAGCGTATGGTTCAGGAGGTTTTGGAAAACTGGTGCCCGCTTCGATAGCGTCACGTAAGTAATCTCTAAATTCAATTGCGAAACCTGATTTGGCACTTATAAATCCTACAGATGGGCGCGCAAGGTACATTCCCGTTTGACCAACAAAAGGCTTTTCGTTCAATGCGTGACAGTGTGCATTTTTCACTCGTGGCTCCATGACTTTCAAAGAGGCATACATGAGGACAGGCCGAATCCTCAATATCTCGGTGATACCCGCCGACCGGCACTCGTGAGTTGTGTCAACGAACATTTTCGCGTACTAGGCTTAGTACACTTTCTCAGGCCCACGAAGCTTCTCAACTATATGACTGCTCCTGATACTGTCATTTGGTCTGCATTGTTGGCGTCTGCAGCAGTGCCGGGGATCCTGAACCCTGTCGTGTTGATGCAAAAACTGAAAGACGGAAGCATTGTCCCATGGAGCTGGGGGAGTCGGTTCAAGGATGGATCTCTTCGGTATGTAACTCTGCATTATTATATCGTGGTGCAAGTAGTGAACCCCGTGTCAGCGTTGACATTCCCGTTCAAGCACTGAATCTATATTTCAACGGTATAAGCTTAACAACCTTCGATACTCAGCGAAGCGTCTAATTGCTTTGACAATGTAGTGACTCACCCCGTCGTGTCGCAAGTGAACCCTCACGTTCATCTTTTCTTCTTCGCTCCGAGAGGATCAGCTGGCAAACCTGTAGCTCATCGGAAAGGGAAAGGTCAGTTCGTTATTTTGTTCTCCAAAATAGTGAGGTGTGATCATATGAATTCAGGATGGCGAGGAAATTTCCTGCTTTCGGCGGCCGAACAGTGGCTGAAGCACGAACTGACCAAGAACTTCAAAGTTATCCGTGATCTCGAGCTTCTTCCTCAGCTACTAGGGCAGGATTGGTCGAGTGTGTTTCTACAGCGGTTCGATGGTGCGGTTACGTAAGCTTCCATCTCGCTTTTATAATCTGATGCTGATCAAACCACAGAATTTGGCCAAAAACTCGCCTTTGGGTGCGTGGGTATCCATGAGAATACATTAAAGAAAAGTTAACCTTGTCAATAGGATTGGTTTCGAATACTGACAGATCCTGATCCCAAAGAGCTGGAAAGGATGATACGCGTTGGCGAAAGTGTGACTTGGCCAAAGGTAAGTTTAATCTGCGAGGCTGCAGTTGCAAACTCAGACCCACTCTCTAGCTTCATATGATCGAGAATCGCGCCAGAATCGAGCAGCAAATATTGCTCGGACGCCAAGCGGTTCACAGAAGTTATAAAAGTAAAACCCGCAACTCTTCGCATGAACCACGCCATTTGCTCTTACAGAAGTCGCTTGGCGAGCCCTCACACTCGAATGCACCTCTTCGACGCTCAATTTCACCTCCACATTCTGGCTCCGACTTGCCATTGTCAGTTGACACCGATGCTGAAGCCGCTTTCGCTCGAAAATCGCCTTTTTTCAGGCGTGATAGACCACTGAACGGCGTATCACCAGGTCGCAACTCACGGAGGCGACGACCTCACAATCAAACGCCACCTACGGTCAATGAAGATCCTGATGACATGGAGCTCCTCCACGTCGCACCTCGTCCTCGAACTTCTGAAGTGGAACCACCCACTACAGGCTTTTTATCGAGACTGCGTACAAATTCTCTCTCAAAGGTCTCGCTTCCTTTCTCGTATAGGAACGGTGCTACCCAAGGCCCGGGAGCGGATTCTGGCCCAGAAAACCGGCCAGAATACACCTGGAGTGCTAGTGAAAGCTCGTCTTCTGACCATTTATTCAACGAGTAGGGAGGCTCAGCCTCTAGATTCCTCAATGGTCTTATGTAGCAATTTTGTATACTAGCCATTAATGTTTAATCAACTGAGGCAAGGACTCTGAAGCAAAACCTAAAACAAACTGGAGCAAACCGTAAGTAACTTTTATGCACATCCGTGCAACAGCCTGACCGCCTTCTTTTACGGTTTTCGATAAAGTACAGCTATACAATTCTGCGAGACATTGATATCACTTCAAGATTTATTGCGAGCGAAGCGAGCATCTATCGGCTCTAGGGCTGGAGACCCGGACAAACAAAGCCAAACTTTAAATGCGGAAATCGAGGTTGCCTTCGGGCAACCTCGGGCATGCTACAGACTTACGGCGCTTTCCTCTAACCACGTTTTCCCGCCAGAAGGTATTTAAATGCTATATATTAATAGATTTGTGCAAAAAAACGAAAGGTTTGACCCAACTTTGCACGATTGGACCACCCAGCCTGTTACTCTTGCTTCGACGCGACGCTGTTTGACGAATGACTGTTTCCTGATTGAGATTTTCTCCTGAAGAGTTCTTTTTACAACCACATAGAAGATTGTATACGGTACGCTTACTGTCAGATTTAATAGTTTACGCTACACTAGGCCCTAAGGGCACCGCGTCTTAATACTAGATACTTGTTGCGGCATATAAATGCTGATTAAAATATATATAATTTTTTTTTAAAAAAGAAAAAAAAAAAGGAGAACGTAACTCGCTCAGTAAGCTTACGTAAAGATGAGCATCGTCATCGCACTGCAAGTGCTTGGCTGGTCACTCCCCATTTCTAGACTAAATAATTCAGAGTCAGACGTAAGTAACTCGGACGTGCGACTCGTATTTGCTTCCCATGCTAGGAGAGGTGCTTTGAATTTCTGCTGGTTGCAGTCAACCAGTCCGCGACTGTCCGCGATAAGGATTGCGCCATTGCTCTCGACGGGGTCGTCAATCCAGCTGGAAGTGCTACCTTCACCTGCAAGGCGATATATATATGATGGCAGAAACGGGGACGATCTCCTGGCATTTGTCCTCCATGCATCCAAAAGGCCATCCCTATCCCTATTTGCCCAGTTCCTTATTCAAAACACTCCCATTTTCAACACAGGCAGAACGACGCAGACGCGCTAATCTTTCTTGGGTACTAGGGTACACTCTCGATCGGGTGAACGTTTTGGGTGATGACCACGGCTACGGTCATACAGGGTGAGCGATCGCATCTCAAGGACAGTACCTTCAATGTTCATACTCATCGCCCTCTTACTCACAGATGTGTCAATGCTCTAAGTTGGGCACGCAACGGCGACATCCTCCTTAGTGGTGGGGATGATACCACAGTGAGACTCTGGAGGATGGAAACCAGTGACACGATACAGGATTACCCGTTCATGTCGCACTGTGTTATCAATACTGGACACCGAGCAAACATCTTTAGCGCCCAAATGCTACCGCAGTCTTCTCGAATGTCAGTTTAATTGGACGGGATATAACTACCCTCACGCTCATCGTCTGTCAGAGCTACTGCGGCTGGTGACACGCAAGTTCGTGTTTTCGATGTGCAAAGCGCACTTGCCCCCACCAACGTAGCGCAAGACCTCACTGAAACGGTGCTGTCAACAAATCAATCATGTATTAGGGTAATACGGTGTCACAGTGACCGGGTCAAGAGGGTGGTGGTGGAAGAAAGTTCGGATTTGTTCCTGTCTCTGTCAGAGGTATGGATGGTTGAAATGACGTTATTACTTCTAACATCCACTGTGAAACACCAGGACGGCACAGTGAGGCAACATGACCTACGAACATCGCATTCATGTCGTGGAGAGTCCTGTCCTACCCCTCTCGTTGAGATCGGACATGAGTTATCAACCATTTCCTTATCTCCATTGACACCGTACCAATTGGTGGTCGCTGGACGAAGTCCCTATGTGAGTCGGTAACTTTGTTCGCCATTGTTATTCGACTATTCTGACGATCGCCCCAGGGTTATCTGTATGATCGCAGGCATCTACCCCGTACTTTGAAACAAGAATGGGGGCTGGCACCCAGGTCGGGTAAAGAATTAACTACTTGTGTCCGCAAATTCGGTCGCAAGCGCCTTAAAGAGAGACAGATGAGACCAGATCATATTACAGGGTGTCGGATGTCGTCGTCCAATGGCCATGAGGTGCGTGTGTGGATTTCCCTTGCTACATCAATAAGGTCCAGAACGATCCGATGTAGGTTGTTCTATGTTGGTCGCTTCATGAACATCACATCCCTTGGCTGCTCACCGCAAAACAGCTTACAGCGACGATGGAGTATACTTGTTTTCCACCAAAGACGAAGAAAATCACGCGAATGATATGTCTAAGTCACCGGTATCTCCATTACAATTTGCAGTGTAAGATATTTTCTGATATCTCAACACGCAGGTCACAAAATCCGCTAATCTGATGCATGTATTGGACATCGACGCTCCAGAACACGAACGCACTTCCTGGTCTGCAGAACCGTCCGAGCCTTTCTCGGCATTGGACGTCGAGGATGGAGAACCAGGTATGCCCATAGTGATGCCTCGACGCCGCTACACTGGTTCCCGGAATATTGCTACTGTTAAAGACGGTGAGCCCGCCGTGCGTTAGGTAGGACATTGCTAAGCGGGTGACAGTGAATTTCCTCGGACCAGAGGATGAGTGGGTTACATCAGGCTCTGATGATGGCAATTTTTTCGTTTGGGAGAAAAGTTCTGGACGTTTGCATGGAATTTATGAAGGTGACAGCAGTGTGGTCAACATGGTTGAAGGGCACCCCCATCTTCCATTAGTTGCAGTCAGCGGGATAGATACAACTATTAAGGTGTGCTGTATAATCTCACCCTGATTTCTATTCATTTACCTGTCCTAAAGCTATTCTCGCCAACTTCGTCCTCGAGTGCTTTCTCAAAGATGGCCCAAGCTCAAGAAATCATGGAAAATAATCAGCGCACAACCACGACTCGTTTTACAAGGTACAACATCGGTGCACTTCTTGCAGAAGCACGAATTGCTTCAGGTGGTGAACCAATTACCGTTCAAATCCCAGAATGTGTAGGGCAGTAAATCACTCTAATCTCGGGTCAGACCATATCGTCTAAGTACATACCACGTGCAAGTCCCGAATACACAGTACTCTATTCCGAGTGCTCAGTTGTCACTCCTCACAATCTTAAATTTTGTCCTTTCTGTGGTACAGACGAATTTTTGCGAGCGAAGCGAGCAATTCCGGCTAAAGGGGTGCAGCGAGGAATAAACAAAACCAAACTTCTTGATTCGAAGAATGCCCCCGAGATTCATAGGATGCTCAAAATCTCGCTCAATTCTTCTTCGTTCTCTATAGTATTGCATATATGTGGTATTCACTCATGAATCAGTAAGATGGTTTAAAAAAATCACGCATCTACAGCAAAATTTCAAGATTTTAGAAGTGTGCCACTTTTCTGACTGTAGGTGCCATATACTCTTCTACATCACACGTATCACATTCTGCATATCATTACCCCCACTAGCGCATTGTATTTGTGTTAATTTCAGTGTACGATGTTCGTCTCTGCTACTGCGAGAGACCTGAAATATGTGCGGATGTTCGTAAGGAGCCACATCACTGCCCGCGGTAGCCGCGTCGCGTTCTGCTTTGTAAGGCCACAACAGAGAAACGTAGATATTAACATGTACGATAATCATCCTTGCGACTGTCCTTCCAGCTGGGATGGTGAGCCCATGCAGAGCACGGGTGAACACCGCGCAGCGAGCGTCCGTCGGCCTTCGGCCGATAGTTACTCGTACTATATTATCTCTGTGGCATGGGTCTTTCAAAGGCGCCATCTCGTCTGGTGCAGGTCGCGATTTTAGGTCTTGAAGCACTAGTGGCACAGCCTCATCTCAGAACAAGTCAAAAGGTGTTATTCATTGGCGGCACAAGACTCGAGCCTCGGGCTACATGATTTTTCCAGAGTTCATGCACTAGAGAAGATAACTATGACGTTGTCAATCTCCGAGTCACGTTACATAGCTCATTCGGTTATTACCAAATCTGACCTTGACTTATTTGAAGTCTACCGCTGAACCGCAGACGTGAGTCGAACAGTTCTGACCCATCCACTCTCAGCCCTTTGCAGTCAGTCTCGATTCCTGGGACTCAAGTGAAAATCAAAAAGACTTAAACGCCAGCGTCGATGCTGGTGAGGCGGACCTGCAAAGTGAGTTTTCCAAAAGCTATCTACCAACTCGTCCAGGCTGAAATCCTCATCTTTCTGCGATCTTGTCAGACCTCATTTCTAATAAATTGACCCCGTAGCCAGACTTTTTTTTGTATTCCAAGTTCCTCGACGTGCAATCTTTGGCCAACCCGTCGCATAGGAAGCCTTCTCGACCCTTTTCGCACATCTTCCAACAGCGTTCCACCCGACGTGGACCGCCACGACCTTAGTACTCAACGTCAATTCATTCATTTCCTTCTATCACAACACAACCCATCACCCAATGCGCTCTCACGGCCGGAATAAGCGTTCCAGAGGCAACAAGGACCCGGATGGCGACGTATACATGAATATCCAAGAAGACGACATGCATTCCGACGCCTACTCACGATCTCGTACGTCCCTACACCCTTCCGAAAGCTATAGAACAGCGACAGCCTCCAACCGCACGCACTACACGTCGGAAAGAGACATCTCTTCTCGCAGTCGTCGAGACGAAGACTGGCGCCATGCAGAAGTGGAACGTGAACGGTATTCATACGATCCATATACCCGTGGGGACAGGGCAGAGTATGATGATAGTGGGCCAAGGAGTTCTGCAGGCTGGGGGACCGTCGACTCAGCACATTATATTCAACCACAAACCGACTGGGATCCACGCTACGAACTGTCTTCGTCATATTCAGAAAGCTCCGCTTGGGGTTCCACGTATGAAGGCAATCGACAACCGTATGTTGAACACTGGCCATCAAGAGACACCGGGGAAATGCCACCGGACGACTGGGGCACCGAAATTGCTAGAACAGATCAGCGTCATGACCGTCAACACCAGGATTGGCGCCCTGAAGGTCGCCGGGACAAAAATTCTGCCCATAGGTTCCAGAGTGACTCCGGCTGGGACTCACGACGCCGGGACAAGGGATGGTCGCGGGAGGGCAATTTTCAGAGAGATGAACAGCATACAGATCAGCAATACCAAGCAGTTGAGGATAGGTCATGGGAGCCCGCAGCCTCATGGAAGTCATCGAACCGTGGCGACCACCAACGAGGGGGCCAAAACGGTCAGCGACACAACCAACAGCGTTCAAAAAAAGGGAATAACAACAACAGGCAACGACGGGAATGGCGAACAGATGACAGTGACCTGAATAAGTGCGTGTATCTTATGTTTTTGCTGGGACATGCTCTAACGCGCCTCGAAGCTGGACACGAAGGGATGCCACGACAGCGGCTAAGAGCACCACCAATCAATACGCCTCAAGACGAAAGCATCCTCGCTCGCCTTCCCGCTCTCGTTCTCGTAGTCGGTCGCCTGCGGAGTCATATCGATCGCATCGCTCCTCTCGTGGTCGGTCCCGGTCTCCCTCATTTTCACCAGCAAGCAAGCGTAGGCGGACAGACTCGAGTCCCATTACTCTGCGAAGCAGGTCTCCCAGCGAAAGGAGTATTAAGAGGTCGCGGAACAAGAGCAAGAGATACTACTCCAAATCCCCCAGCCCTGGCCGCACTCCTTCCCGTCGAAGCAGTATTTCTGCAGCCTCGAGTTCGGGTTCCGAACGAAGTCTCAGTCGAAGCCCGGTCAACCGCACACGAGCGCCCCATCGTCTGCCTTCCGCGAACCCACGAAATGCCAACATGTCCAAGACAAAAAAGTCGAATAACGGTGTCACGCCTCGAAAATCTTCCGACTCGCGAAATGGCAAGTCTCGGGCGCAAAAGCATCGTAAAGCATGGGACACGCAACAGGCTCCAGAGCCTGAGGACGACTACCTCGAGCGGGCGGAACATCCTGTTGAACCTCCGTCTTCTTCGATCTCCCATTTGACCTCCCATAATGGATATGATTCACATCCAATATCGATCTCGATGCCGCCACCACCTGTTCCAACACATTCCGTACGGGGACACTACGAGCGTGTAGAGTATCCGTCGCCCGTACAGGTATTTTCGAAGGAATCAAAGATCGACATTCAGGCTGCTAAGTCCACACGATTGACAAAAAATGCCGGTTTCAAACCTATAACGAAGACGAGTTCGGCTTTGAAAAGATTCTTTCCTGGCGACGAGGAAGACACAGATGTTGTCCAGCAGTCGTCGACATTTTCTGAGCTGGTCCACCAGTCCGACGGACCTCTCCCTTTGCCTCGCGTTCCACTCAGCTCACAGGGCAAGTACACGGAAACGGCAGGAGATGCACAGGGCCGATCCGGCTCACAAGAGCCAATGCCCAGACAATCCCCCATGCTACTCGATCCGCCGCCTCCTTTATCATGTCTCTCGCCAACTTCCAATCCGAACCAACATGCACCCTTGTCAAACGATCATCAGCCATCCTCTCTGGTAGCAGTGCCGGATGAACACGAGCATCCGACGTCCCATTCCGATGTACAGGAACCTTCTTCGGAGAGACGTGTGACGCCACCCGTTAACCAAGAAGACACAGCACCTGCGTCATCATCGAACAAGGATCTCTACAAGATCGTGAGCCAGGTTGGAGAAGGCACATTTGGGAAAGTCTACAAGGCGCGGAATACTGTTACGGGCACATATTTTGCTCTTAAACGGATTCGTATGGAGTCTGAACGTGACGGCTTTCCCGTTACCGCTATGCGAGAAATCAAGCTTCTGCAGTCTTTGAGACACATGAATGTCGTCAGGCTGTATGAAATGATGGTTTCTAATGGTGAGATTTCCCTTGCTCTTAATGAAATATTCTTACCTTTGATTAGGTTCCGTCTACATGGTGTTTGAGTACATGGACCACGACCTGACTGGCGTCCTCTCCCAGACGCAATTTACGTTTTCAGACGCAAATCTGAAATCCCTCTGTCATCAAATGCTTGCCGGGCTGGCGTATCTGCATCACAAAGGAGTCATTCATCGCGATATTAAAGGTTCGAACATCCTGATCAACAACCAAGGCGAGCTCAAGCTTGCGGACTTCGGCCTTGCACGGTTTTATCAGAAGCGTAGACGAAGTGATTATACCAATCGGGTGATAACTTTGTGGTACCGGCCTCCTGAGCTGCTCTTTGGTGCCACTGTGTATGGTCCTGAGGTTGATATGTGGAGCGCAGGGTATGCAAATTTTTGTCATTTGATCCATCTCCTGAAAATATCACTCTCCAGGTGCATTATGCTTGAGCTATTCACGAAAAAACCTGTGTTCCAAGGGGTTGACGAAATCCATCAAGTTGAAGTCATTTTCAAGCTTCTGGGCAGTCCAACTCCTCGTCGATGGCCAGATGTCATGAATCTCCCTTGGTTTGAACTGGTTAAGCCCCAGCAAGTTTTGCCAAACCGGTTTCGAGAAGCCTTTCAGAAGTATGGCATGACATTCCTCTGCCCTTTTGATATATACACATATCTGACGACTTGTCCTCAGATGGTTGTCTCCTGCTGCCCTTGATCTGGCCGAACAGCTCCTCAATTATAATCCCGCAGAACGTATCACTGCTCTGCAGGCCATGGAAGCCCCGTACTTCCTTCAGGAGGCCCCTCCCGCTTCATTACCTGTGGGGTATGTTGTGGATAACCTGGATGTTCGACCTGTTCCTAATGGCCCATTTTCACAGCCTCGTCGACCTTGAAGGAGAGTGGCATGAATTGGAGACAAAACGGGAACGCGCGAAGAGGAAAGAGCGGAAAGTTTGACTTGCTATGTCGGCTTTACTTAATGTTATTATGACCCATCTGCATCTCGAACACTTTCGTTTTCATGTTGTCCATTGTTATCTACGCTGCAATAATCACACTACCAATCCATGCAACAGCCAGACACAGATTCACGAAAAACAAATGACGTACATGTACAACGTCCAAATCATCTACTTGGCTTCAACGGTAGACGACACCAAACCTTTGTCTGTCAAATGTTGGACAATGGACTCGACCTTGAGCAGGCGTCAGCTTAATAGAACAAGGAAAAGGAGATAGGACTGAGAACTTACGTGGGCAGCAGTTAGTCGAATTTGGGTGTCCCAGCGTTTGGTGAACGGTGCACCTGTGTCTTCTGCTTCCTCTACATCACCCAACCCACCAGCCTTTCCTTGAGCGTCGTCTTCTTCACGATTTCCTTCAAACCAAATAAGTTTGTCAACTTGGTCAATGCTTCCACGCAATCGTCCTTGTTCAATCATTTTGCGTGCCATTGTTTCTGCTGCACCGGGTGTCAAATCCAGAAGCGCACCCAAACCTTTGAAAGTGATGTTATTATAGATGTTGGAACTTGCAAGGAGATTGTGTTCCATGACAGCGCGGTCGAGCACGGTTGACGGGCCCGTTCGTGTGCTAGCGGTTGGGTCCAGGTCGCCACCGTCATCGTTGCCAATAGATGCTAGCCTATCATTTGAAGAGATTGAGATTTTGGCAAGCTGGTGAGGTTTCAGAGATTTCTCGAACTCCTTTATCTCAGCCGGCCGCAGGATATGATCCAGAAACATTTTTGAAAGGATGTTGTAGGTTGGTAGATCGGTTGTTCGTTCATCGCGGTACAACGATGCTAGAACTCTAGAGCGATTCGGTCCTGCAGGTGCAAGAACGGCACAAGTGACCGCTGCCAGTCTGTCGATGACCGTGTCTATAAGGCCTTCATTCGAACATGAAGGCGGATGAACTCACAACATATGGCGACGTTCTTCTTCGTCGATTTCTCCAACATAGCTAAGTTCGTGGTATCTGCTTGCGGCTTCCAAGAACTTTCTGCTGTAGTCACTGATCCGGGCTTGACATAGCTTGAATTGCAGGATAGTCTCCCGATCACTCGCAGAGTGGACAAGCAGAGCGGCGCGATTGTAGTACGTTTCGGCTTGGACAGAGTCTTCGTCCTCAAGAAGCAGTCGAACGATGCGAACGTACACGCGCAGCTTTTCTGAATCTGCGATGGATCTACGATGTGAGATAATAATGACGGTCAGAGCCATTTTAAACATGAAACAGAGGGAGCACCTTTGGCCCGAGTCCAGCGAGATGCCCATAAGGACCCTTGCAGCATCGCTCCATTCTTCCTCTTCCTCGAGAATATCTGCCAATTGGAATCTCAGGGAGTTCACCTGGGACGATTCAGAAATTATAAACGCGTGGGCCTGACTTAATTGACAAAAGACTTGCCTGCTCCTCGTAGCTCACAATTCTCGGCTGGACTGTGGCCAGTGTATCTTCGACCACGCGTTTTCTCAGTTCTACATCCTTGATAGCGCCTTCACTCAGGACCTTCACGACCTCAGAGAGAACTTGACGCCCAACGACTAAGCCGACGCTATCCTGATTAACGACTGTGTCTACCAATGTGTGGAGGTCTTTTGGTATGGATGGGCCTGATTGTGACAAGATTTGTGGGATGAGAGATGTGAATGCAGGTCCTTTGTCTTTCTGGCTGAGAGCAGCATATTGGGCCAATTTGGCTTCCATCGCAGGTCGATGGCGAGTAGATTGATGAACGAGTAAGTACAGATAAATGAGTGGCAGAGCGCTTGTCTACGGACCAATGCAGCCATCTGTCACGTGCAATCAGGAAGTATTTGCTGGCCAATCAAGCTCAGCCTCGGGCCCATGGTTACAGAAATCGTATAAGTATGTACTGACCTCCTTCATCACTCTTTCGTACTTCCTCTCCCCAAGGATACGCCTCTACTAGGCATCCTCTTAATAGAGCTTGAGCCTGGAGCCTCTTGCTTGTCCTTTCGTTCCGCCTTTGCCTGTCTTTGTGTGCTGGTCAGTCTACTCTTCAGCAGCAATGCCAACTCTAAGACCATTCTTTTCTAGGAATCACAACTTGTGAAGCACACCCATTCTGACAAATTTGCAAACTGCTTCCCAACCATGTCACGTTTGACTGCCTCGCTGTTCCACAAGCCTTCGCCTTTCGTGTTTCCTCCCATCCAAGCACCGCCCAGTCCCCCGGAAACGCATTCAGATACCATTACCCTTGGCCCACAGACCGGTCCTCCGCCTCATCCGTTTGGTTCTCAGGATTATATTATCAACGAGGCTAGTTTGGCAACCGGTAGCCCCGACACTTCTGGCTCTCGCTTCAAGAGGGGATCCTCTCTGCCATACCATAGCTCAGGAGTCAGGGACAACAAGGAGAGGGGAACCCCTCGCAGCGCGAAAGCTCTCGTCATCATCATCCCTCCTTCACCTCTGGTGCAAGACTACAGTCGTCTTGGACATGCATCTCACGTCGGGGCGTCCAACCGGTTATCACAGGGTGTAGTTATGCCGCTCTTTCCGACAGTAAGTTCTCCGAAATGAACTCGTCACGGACTGTTCTCACGTCTGTCTAGTTATTTGCTCAATTATCAGCCATTGCGAAAGAGTTTAATTTTCCCAGTACGACCGGCCTTTGTCTTTACTTCCATCACATTGAAGACGGAATCACCATAACACCACGCATCTCGGACGATTCTTGGCAAGCTATCTGGGCTCATCTTTCAGACCCTACACCAGCGAGCGGACGTCGCTTGATTAGTGGGAAGATGGAATTCGATGTTGACCTTCGCCTGGCTCGCTGGTATTCATCATGGGTGTCCGCTATACACAGAGAAAACACCGAACCTTTCACCTACCATCCTTCCACAGCGCCGTCATTGGCCCACTTCAGGGCGGACAGTCGCACAACAATGGCGGATGGACGTCCTTTATTCGAGGAGGACGGTAATGAAAGTGTGTTGAAGCAGTACCACAGTGCACCTGTCGGTCGCCACATACCCCGAAAGCTGTCGCTCGTGGAGCGCTTTGACACAACTGCTCAGCCAGACCCAAGGGCCAGCGTGTTGTCAGCCTCTCCGCAAGACATTCCAACTAACGGATCGCACGTCCTTACGACGATCATGCAGGAGGACGAGCCTAAGACAGCGAAGCAGAATTTGGATATTCGGGTGAAGTCATGGAGGGCGAGTGCGCTCACGGCACCTGGCCCTCTGGCAGCCTCCGGTCAGACCAGTCTTGACCCTTCGAATATCCCGAACAACGTGGAGATAGCGACATCTTCTACTCCCGTATCAGAGGAAGAATTCAGATTAGAGGACTTCACTTGGTCAGTCACGTCGGCGGGCCCTCTATCCTACGGAGAGATTTCACCAGTCTCTTGGAGCCGCACATCGTCGGTTGATTTGGCACACCGGGTAGAAGGGTCAGTATTCAGCACGCTATCCTACCACACCTCAAACGGTCCTCTTTCATCTGGAGAGTTTTCGCCCGTCTCTTGGAGTGCTGTTGCATCCGTTCATTTAGCCGACCGTCTCGAAGGGTCTGTGTGCAGCACAGAATCTTATCGTACTTCCTTTGGACCATCAGAGTACGACCCCCTCTCGCCTGCTTGTGACAATGGCTACCCTGCCATCCCGACCCCTGACATCGCCCGCCGCTTCATTGAGAGCATTCCATCCACTCCTGGGACGGCAACGACATGGGGTGCGCCTTTATCGTACCCACCTTCACCCCGATGCGCCTCCCCAACGCTATCTGTTGACCTTTGCGATCGACTTAGGCTGGATGACTTGGAACCACCTTTGCCTCATTATCCGCGTCCGGTGCCCGAAGACTCGCCTATACCTTCAACAGAGGACAAAGCCCTGGCACAAAAGGTCATCGACGTTTGGAGTGAGAAGCCCTGGTCACATGTCTGGCCGTATAATCAGAAGTCGCAAGCCACTACGACCTCGGGAGCGGCAGGTTGGGCGAAAGTTGATGTCGCGCGGGTTCTCGAGAAGGCTAGTCCTGCAGCACAGGAGGAGTCTGAAAAGAAGCAATCAGGTTCGACCACTCTGTCGCCGGAGGCGCGTACCAAGGCGCAGATGGTCCTGGATACATGGAACGACCGTCCTTGGTCGCACGTATGGCCGTATAACAAATCTCGCACAGAATCTGTAACTGCACGTCAGCCTGCTCTCAAAGCTTCATCAGCTTGGAACAAGGTCAAGGCGCCCGATGTGATTTCGAAAGCGGTGGTTTTCAAGTGCGAACAGACATACTCAGCGTTTGGATATCCTTTCCTCAGGATTTGTGCGTCCTTTGTTGTTTGTGAATACATCTTACATTAGTGCTGACCCTAGACGCAGATGAACCTGTGTATCCCCACTTCGACCTGTACCCTTCCTTGCCTGGTACCGTCAATGCGTCCCATGGTTCTGATGATACGGAAACCAGGCCCTCGTTCTGCACCGTTTACGTAGTCTCTGTGTATCCCACCTTCGATTTATGTGGGTTTGCTTTCCTGTCCTGGGATACTGTTATTGATCGACCTTACATTCCAGATCCAGCTGTATATCCCTACAATCTTACTAATATTTATCCGAGTGTTGCCAGATCCGCGGAGCTCGTTGGGGCTCAAGCGGCTTATCCCTACTTCAATATCTGTACGTCGTTTCTCCCGCAGCCCCAGTTGCAGCTTTACTGACACCCATCAGACCCGGCGGTCAGGCCTCCTTACAACGCTTACCTATCACTCTACCTATCAACACCACGCTCTCAATATCCTGTCTTTGAACTTTGTACGATCTCGCTCCTCGTAAGCTATAATACTTTTGGCTTGGCTCATGCTCTTCCATAGACCCGACAGCAGCATCGCTTGGCCAACAAGGCGACGCATCCCGGTTGGTCACGGAGCTAAGTTCCCGGTCTCAGTCCGTCCATCTCCACGTGTATCCCGCTCTCAACATTTGTCAGTACTATTTTCATTGGTCATTTGGGCTTTGAGAACTGAAAGTCCGTTTCTTAGATCCTGCAGTGTACCCCTTCTTCGACCTTTATCCCGATGTAGCCCCGCTTCCTAGTGTCTGCATTCAGCCAGGAGTTGCAGCTGTCTCTGTTGACCGTCCACTATCAAGTACTGCATGTTTGAAAGTGGCCATCGCGCCAGCGTATCCATCTTTCAACCTCTGTGAGTACTACTACCTTTTCAAAATACGTGACACCCATCTTCTTTACAGATCCGAGCGTCTACCCATATTTGGATATCTATCCAGGGCCGTACTTCTCTTCTGAGGCATCTCGACTTGTAGTTGAATCAAGACAAAGCACTTCTGGTAGCCCAATTTTTGGTTTCTTGCGATTAGCGCTGACGAATTTGGTTCTGAATTATATAGTCTCAAAGACGGCACAGCACCAATTCGTCTTTGCTTCCACAGCGCAATACCCCTACTTCAACATATGTAGGTTGCATTTCATATACCGTGCTCTGATATTAACATCGACTGTATTTGACCAGATCCAGCAGTTTACCCCAATTTCGATCTCTACCCCTCCAAGCTAGAAATCCCGGTCGCTCCAGCCCCCACCCCAGCCCCGGCTGTCCCTCACCTTCAAATCAACCGCAAGACAAAGGCGAATAGCAGGTTGACCCACTCGGAACTGCATGCCATGGTTATGATGGAGAGAATTAGTTCGAGAGGATCTTTTGACCGTGCCGATCTTCAGCCAAGGCTGCAACCAAGGCGACAAAACTCTAGCTTGCCTACACTGCCTTCAAGTAATCTCAACGATGCAGGGCACTCGTCGCGCCTGGATGGTATTCGGAGAAGCCTTAGCCTATCGTCGAATCAAAGCGGCGATGTTCGACGACCTGTACGGACAGGCAGCGTTTTGCTGGGGGCTGAACAGTCTGGTGCAGGATTGACCAGGAAGTTCTCAAGTTTGCGGGAACGGACTCCGGAAGGAACGAGGCCATTGTCTACGCACACAATGACAAGCAGACACTCGGTGTCGCACAAACGAGACAGCTTAGTGTTGCAGAGAGCAAAGGCCTATGATTCTACCGGTGAGAGTAGCCTCATTTTGACTCACTACTTCATTGTTGCTCAAACTCTCCGCCAGTAGAGAACATATCTCTTCCGCTACCACCTTTACCTCGAGAGCCTCTGTCAAGATTCCCGATGCCTCCCAAATCTTTCCCTCCATTGCCGTCCCTTCCTGTGGAACGTGACGCCATGTAGAGTAGTGTTGATACTTGCTATTCAATTTCTGTGCATTCTCTCTATCTGAATTCGAACATGGCTGCGATCGATAGATCAGATGGTACGACTACAAACTGCTCATCCGTCGTTATCATAACTTCCCGCACGCTCATTGCCAGGTAATTCATTCTGGTCAATGGTTGGGGAATCTAAACTGTGTCCGGAACCTGGCATCGTTGGCTCTGGTCCGGGTGTACTCGTCGCCAACGCGGCTCGTCGAGCAGCAATCGCTCGACCTTCACGCTGCTCCTTGTCCATCTCGTCACGCAGTTCTTTGTTTTTTCGATCGTCCATGAAAGCGAGTTTGACCTGGGAACGTCCAGTATTTGAGTGCGCATACCCGACATGGAGTGGACAAGGCGAACCAGTTCTGCCGCAGCCTCCCTTGCAGCTTTCTCTCCTGCCTTCGCCTTCGCAATACGTTCCTGCCTCTCTGCTTCCAGAGAGACGAATTCCTTCAGGACTTTAGTACCAATCTGGAGTTCTTCCATATGGCGATGGTGGAACCTATAGTACGGTTGGAAGTTGTGGACCTGTGAGTCTGCATGAGCCTGCTTGTTCAGCAAGGGTGTTGTTCCTTTGTACGTTGCTTACTTCTGCTTTGAAGCCAAGCTGTGCGGTCGTAGCAAGCACTAATTAGCACTAATGACAGTCAGACGAGGGACACAACCAACTTCGATGGCATACTCCAAGGCGCCTTTTGGGTCTACGAGATCTCTCTTGATCACGGTGTTTGTAGGCTTGAACTGCTGGTACTTGGGGTTGTCAGGTTCTCGTAGCAAGTTTTCGGCGATGGTCAGTAGAGTCTAAACAGAACTCAGTAAGCGCCGAGCAAAGGTCATACTGGCAAAAGGACCAGCAAAGGCGTAGCGTTTACTTTGAGAGATCTTTGAGCTTGATCCTGAGAGTTGGGCCGTGTGATCCCAGGATCTACCATTCTTCGGAATTTCTGCCGCTTGTCATGCTCAGCAGCTAATTGTGCAGCAGTCTTCTGAGGCGTTGCTGCCAGTAAACTTGTTCGACGTTCCGCGGCGGCGGCCAGAGTGTCATGGGATATACTTGGGGAATTTACGGATGGCGTCGGTGAGCTCATGGAAGACATATTAAAGAAATGGTACAAGTATTGAGAATTGGACGATGCCCGAATGCTAGGGCAAGAGGAGAGAGAGCAAAGAATGCAGTGCCCGGTCCCGCTTGCAACCTTTTCTAGACATGATCCGAGTCAGGCATTACATTCTCTATGGGTCACACTTGTATAAGGACATTCAACAGTTTTCATTGTATTACTGAAGGGGCATCGTTCACTTTAGAATACAGTACCTATATTACGAACAGGTCACGACGCTTGTACAAGAAAATGGTATCAACAATTCAATTACGCCATTTATGCAGCTGGGGCGAAGGCGACAGCATTCCTTCCGAGATCGTAAACCGTGTAGTACTTGCGAAGGAAAACATCACCTAAAGGAAAGGTTAGAACGGAGGAATGCGGAAGTATCGTTACTGACCGATGATCCATAGGGAGCCTCCAGGCAAGTTGATATCCATTCCAGTGAAGGAAGATATGCAGGTACCTTGGACCTCGAGGATGTAGTCAGTTCCCTTGAGGGGATATGGCTTGCCACCGAAGAAGAAGCTGAGTTCAGGAAGGGTCGGGACTTTAGCGCAGTCAACTTGATATTGGCCGTTCCAGGTCTTCTTAGCGCCGATCTGGGCATTAAGCATTTCTGCGATGTCTGTTGGCAATGCAATAAGAGATGTTCCTGAAAAGAGACAAGTTAACTGTTGGCACTAGAATCAAGACATGTGAATCACCAGTATCAATGGCAGCCCCAGTGTTCTCGAGCTCAAGCTCTTCACCGCCAAACGACACCTTCTCGAGTTCGACCTCCCAATAAGCCTTCCGACGAACTGGGACGTAATCAAGCTTTCCCCTGTAGGCCGAATCATCAACGCCACCGAAAATAGCTTCTCCGCCATCGTCTTCAGAGGAACCGAGACGGAAAGAGAACACAGGCGAATCAAGGAGGCCTTGATTTATCATACTGTAGAATGGAGGAGTGATGTGATTGACTGAAATAGTGTCGTAGGCCAGACCGAGGATGCCGTCAAACCTGAGCCCACATGTGCATGAGGAGCGGCGCGAATCAATAAAGGAAGACCCACTTTCCAAAGGCGAACGCCAAACCAGGTTCCTTGACAGCCTCTGCAAAGTCTTGGCTCTTGATCGTCAAGTCACCGATCTTGAGAAGGTCGTTGGAGACAAAGCCTTCCATAGAACCCGAGCCGTATTGGATGGAGAATTCGGACCCATTGGCCTTGTATGTTGAGGAGGCGCTCGAGTCGTACTTGGTATGCAAGAAGCAAGCAATAGACGTGCATTTGGTACTTGGAACCCAGAGGTTGCTGGACCTACATGCAAGGCAGAGATGAGAACAACGAACTGCACAAGTGAAGGAGGCGCATATACGAACCCGGTGTCAAGAATGACCTTGAACTGTAGCATGATCGAGTCAGTACAGCCTTCAGAGGCCAAGTGGAGGACTAACGGTCTGGGGAGGAGAACCGATATCTATCTCGGTGAAGTACTGCGCATTCATGAAGTCTACCTCGGTTGTCAGTTGCAACCATGACGGGACTGGAGAAGGGAAACAAACTGGTCAGTGGGACACCATGGCCTCCTTTCAGCTCTTCCTGAGTCCAGAAGAGTTGCTCGCCATCCTTGATGGCAGGGCGTTCAACCCGACGACCCGAACCACCAGCGCCCATAAGGGGAAACTGGAGCTGAGGAGGGGCACCATACTTCTGTGCAAGGTAGGCGCTCTCCAGGCCAGGGTTGCTCGCTGCAGAAGGGAGTTTCTGGAGCTTGAGCTTGTGGACACGAGCGGTAGAGACAAGGGGGAGGAGGGCTAGGAAAAGCGGTGTGAGGATCATGGCGGTCGTAAAGAGAGTGGGTCGATGCTGCCCACATGGTCAACGTCATTGGCGGACTTTGAATCTGATTGGTCACTCACCACCATGTCTACCCGCGCGTCGCGCCGTCCTCAGCAGAGCCCGTCCCTCACCTCCATCGAGTCTCTCCTCCTCGCACAGGCTGCATGGGAGCTCGGCGCTGGCCCAGCATCCTGGCCTGCAGTTGCGAAACTCCTTTCAAAACACCCCTTGCTCTCGAGACCAAAATCATTCTTCTCTCCTCAGGTCAGTCACCGCGTCTCGCAGTGTATCCGTCGCATCAATCCGAAGTTTAGTCCTGTCATTCGATGTACGAGAACCTCATGAAAGAGGCAGCTCTGGACATGTACGCCTTTTTGTAGCCTCTGTATTCATGCCACTTATTGCTACATGTAGAAATGAATCAAATAATGCACCTCATGGTTCGCCCTTCTCGTCATGCCAATGCAGTACCTGATCTCTCCTCAGCTGCCGGGAATTTGAGGCTAGCACAAAAGCACTATCGTGCTCGCTTCCAAGATCTGCGCGAACTCATCTTGGCAGAAGAATCCAAGTTCAAGTTAGTTGTCGTTGGCGTGACGGTCTCGCATCCCTGAAACTTAACATACTTTAGGACCATCTTGAAGGAGATTGAAGACATACGAGCAGGGCTCTGGGATAAGGCTGGGCAAGCGAGGACATCCAAAGAGACGACTCCGGAGCCAGAAACTTCAGACCAAAAAGTGGTATATAGTTTGCTGCTCCCTTCCCGCCCATAACTTACAACATATGCTAGGACACGTCCGCAGACCAACCTATGGACGATACATTTGGCGGTTCGGACCTTAGCGGTGTCACAGAATCGGTAGAGTCCTCTTCTTCGCCTCAGACGAAGGTGTGTAGACATTTGGAATTGTCAAGTGGTTTTCGCTGAGGTACCCAGCATCAGGATCGCCTCGGACCCGTTGATTCCTCAACGCCCGAGATCGAGCCGAGCGCACCTACGGAGGTGCCAGGATTGGATACCGAAACAGTCCCACAGGCTTTATCACCGACCCCAACAGCAGATATTGTTGAAGAACCCGTTGAACTGGTTGCTGAAGTTGAAAAGCTTGAAGAAGTGGTAGAAACTTCGAACGAGCCGATTACTCCACACGATCCATTGTTGCAGAATGCGCCTGACAGCGAGACTGTCAAGGGCGACCAGGACCAAGAAATGGAGGATGTTCAAAAAACCGTCGAGCCCGGGCCGTCAGAGATTAAGGACCGCGATGCAGAACGTGTTAAACAACGAGAGGAGGAGGAAATTAAGGATGAAGAGTCAAAGGAGGAGGAGGAGGAAGGGTCTCAAGGAAGAGACGAACAGCTCAGTCACGAGCAAGACGAACATGTGAACTCCCCCAAGGCGTCGGAACATCGAGACATAGAAGTGGTAGAAACAGAGTCGGAGCCCGTTCATACCCCTGTTGCAGACGCCGCTGCCTCTGTTGACGTTGAACCCACCGCAGACGAGGGCCAATCCTCAGGAGCAGAAGAGCCCATAGCTCCAAGACGGCGTATGTGTACGAGTTTCCAGTTGGCTCAGCAGATACTGACCAAGTAATACAGGCTCCACTCGACGTCGCAAGTCCTCCGCAGCGTCTGTCCCACCACCTGCTGCACGAACAAGATTGCGGAATCGCGTCCGTATATCAGAGTCTGAACCTCAAAATGTGGACTCAGAGAATGATGTGGATATCGAGAATAAAGAAGACACACCAGCCATCGAGGATGAAGTGTCGTCACCATTCGACACTGGAACATCACGACGCCGAGATGGTTAGTGTTCCGCATCATTGGCATTCCGTTGCTAACAGTTGTTTTAGGAAAAAGGAAGGCATCTTTCATGGATGCAGCAGACTCTCCTCGGGACAAGAAACGGCTGCGAGAAGACTCAGAGCCTGCAGAAGAGGAGGAGCCAGGTACCCACCCTCGATTCTTTGCTGTGGTGTTTCGTGTTGACACCACTGCCCAGAACCCGCATTGCATAACACGCGCACTCGCGTCACTCGCAACGCCATACGAACGGAGGAGCAAGTGGCGCTGAAGCGCTTCCAGAATGTTATTGGCATGCTGCACTCCCAAATATCCCAACACCGGAACGGCACCATCTTCCACAACCCTATCAAAAACTCTGAAGCACCAGATTACCACGAAATCGTGAAACGCCCTATGGACCTGAAAACGATCAAGACCCGTTTCAAGGACGGCATCATCGCGAACTCGCTTGAATTCCAACGGGACATCTATCTCATGTTTGCAAATGCCATGATGTATAACCGTCCTGGCTCTGATGTCCATGCAATGGCAGAGGATGTGAGTTCATATGATGCTACGAAAGCATACGTTTCTAAAGTAAGCCACAGATGATGCTCGAAAGTGAGGGCCAGATCATTGCCTTCCGCCAGACGGAAGGGTTAGTCAAACGGGGGCAACGACCTTGATGACATCGTCAATTCATCTATGCGGTAGGTGGCCTTAATAGCAGATTTTGGTGTCACTTGCCAGAATACCTCCTGGACTGAGTTGACTAGCCTGGGCCCGGAGCTCCAGGGGACAACTTTGGCATTGCGACGCCCCTTCTTGATATTCTTTACTACCCCTCCCCGTCTGACGTTCGCTGTGCACAAAGCTATAATTCTGTAGTATTCTAATGATATATCATGGCGAACAGTAAGAAAACAATATTAAGCAATAATACAATTCTAGTCAGCGGTGATGAACGAGGTGAACCGAAATCAGAACCAAGGTTGATACAGCTCTCCCATCTTCGCCAGTTGAACTGGATTCGTAGCAGTGGAGATCAAACCTATGACCGTTTGAACTACTGGAGCATTGGGAATGGTCGCTGTTGCTGAGTTATTTGCCAATGCCTGAAGCGTCTGTCAGATATAGGACAACAACAAATAAAGTTATCTTACACTTTCTCTCTCAATCTTACAGGCCATGATCTCTGCTCGTTTGACAATGCTGTCGATGTGTGCATAGACACTTTGGCGGTAGATTGCATCGAAATTCCAAGGGCGACCACGCATACTCAGCCAAGAAGTCACTTCATCCCGCCCGAGTAGACAAAGCTGTTGTTCGAGGTCAAACTATGGGGGCATCAGCAAGGAGCCATTAAACCCAATCTCGTCATACCTCAGGTTCCGTCAAGGACCGTGCAATAGCCATGATACCAGATGCTAGGATTCCCTCCGTGAATATTGGGCCCAGGACGCTCTGCATGTTAGGAGTCAATCGGAAGGGAACGATATCGCTGGTGGCGAACAAGGGCATGGTATTCGAAATGCCTGTCGCCGTGAGTTACGAGAATGCGTAAAAAATATATGAACACACCTGGCAATAGTTCTGTCATAGCTATCAAGCCAGTCGCTCGCGATACCTGGAAACGAGCAGGGTGCCTGCTCGACAATGCGAAGACATAGGTCATGAAGCAGCACGATGCCAATTGCAGAGAAAATTGTTTTCGCATTCTCCATAATTCGTCTGGTGCTCCCATGGTACGAATCATGTACTAGAATTAATAAATGGATGAACACATTACTTTAGGCATCAACACATACATTGGAAAGGATATTATCCGGAATCATCTTTGCGGCGATTTCATCAAACGAATCTTTCTTGAGAGTAAGATAATCCACTTTGGTTGGCTGTTGCGAGTAAGGACGATAAATTCCAAGCAGGTGTGGCTAATTGGCACTAACCTGCTTTTTCGAAAGTTGTTGGCGGTACTCCCGCAAAACCTTTCGAACTTTCTCCCCAACAAATAAGATTGGTTCTTCTCTAGAGATTTGCGTCTCTTCACAGTGTAGGTCATAGACATCGCCAAATGATACGTAGGAGGAATCAGTTTGATAGAGGCGGACGTTCGGGCTGCAGGATACAGCGGCCGGAAGATGGAACGTAAGGTTTCGTTTTCGACTTTCCTTGTTCCTCCCAAGAGCGCTAACAAGGCGAGGCGTGAGAAAGATCGTAAGAAATAGAAGGAAGAAGTACCCATTCAAAGTCCTGAAAACTTGGATCACCCGATCTTCCCGCCGATACTGCCGATGACATGGTAGCTGAACGGTAAAAGATGTCTTGGAGTTGTCGTTTCCATGAAGAGTGAATCGTTTCCAGCAAGATCCGTTGGATCGGCAATTCTCGAACTTAGGGGCGAATTTCTGAATCCTGACGAAGTATTGATTGGAATCTTTGTCCTTGAGTCAGAAGGAAGTATCAGGAATGAGTTTTAGGATAGCGACAATGAAGAGAACCTACCTCAGTGTATTGACCTGGAATTTCGATCTCGTCTATTTTGCTGTATTGGAATTCCGTCAAATAATGACTGAGGACGGCCAATGGTTGAAGCCGAGGCCGAGCATCCAGAATCGACTCAAATTTATGTCGCCATCGTTGAAGGCGTTGGATATAATCATAGTGTGTCGGCCTATTCATTATGAAATCCTCGTCGTATTCTTTCTGTATAGACCGTCAAGCTTGGAAATATTTGAAGTCTGCTTTACAAAAACGCACCCTGACAAATGCTGGCAAGTTTTGAGCCATACGGGAAAGGGTATTAATTGTGCTGGGGGTCAGTAAGCCGTCATCGTCGATAGAATTTATCCGGACGACATAATTCTAGAAGATCGCTATTAGGTGATAACCAGTTAACTCTGACAGGAAATACCTACCTGCACAGCATCGGAGAGCAACATGCAGATATTGCGATATACGTCTTCCTCAGGCGAGGGTTTGAACTTATGTTGGATCTGATCAACCATAGTCTCCAAGCTGAGAATCAGGAGCGGGAAGGTGGTTTTCAACAACTGCAAAACTTCGTCGACATGTTCCGACGCATGGCGAGGATGAGGCGGTGTTTGGTCTGGCATCGCAACAGTGGGTGTCGCTTTCGGCGCAGATGAAGATGCATTATCGGCCGGCGTTGTTGATTGCGTGGTAGAGGTCGACATATCCATAGCTGTTGCTTCATTTAGCTGCTGGTCACCGGCGGGGCGTCGCATTGCGTCAGAGGATGCTGCAGCAGCCACTCGTGCGGCCATGGCCTTCTTCATAAATTGCATTTCTTCACGAGTGGTTCGAAGGTGATAAAATATAGCCTAGAGTGGCAGAGCATGCTATCAGTGATTTGCATGGCCAGAGAAATACCACGCACCTGGGGGTAATGTCTGGCTAGGTTTAAGAGGAGATATCGCGCCTGCTTCCATTCGCGATGTGATAATGACAGACACAGCTGTGGAATGAAGGTAATCCAGAACCAAAAGGCTGCATCTCCCTTGTAGGTATCGAAGGCACGCGATATCGTTGAAGCACCGTCGTCCAAGCTCAGCAGCCAGAGAATGCGGGCAAGAAGTGGTCGACTTTTGCCACTCTTATACAGTCCGGCAGCCTGCAAATAGCAACTCACGGCGTTTGCGGCCTGGCTCAAGTCGTTGGGAGACTCTTTGAAAACCCGGTCGCTGAAACGGCCCCATTCCGCCCAAGCCTTGGCCTGCGTCATATCAAGCTGCACAGCCTGTCCGAATGATAGGGTGGCATCTTCGTTACGGCCGAGTCGAGAGTAAAACATTCCCTTGAGCGTGTAGAATTCGGCCTTCTGAGTTGTCGAGAAGAACATCAGGTTTGTGTTGTTGATGACTTCTAATCCTGCCTGAAGATCGTTTGGCTTCTGGTAATGAGCACGTGCTTGTTCCCGTAGCTTTAGGAATGCCTCGGAAATTTCAATGTTGGGAAGTGTATAGATTTTGGTCAAGGCATTGAAGCAAACTTCAAGAAGCTCATGCTTTCGAGCCACATGTGCGAACCGGTTAATGATCCAAGCAGTTTCGTGGTAGCCTCGGTAGCCGAACGTATTGGCATTATTGGTACCGCCATGGCCAGAGTTTGCAATTAGAGGCATATAGGCGTTATTTATAGAATGAAAAACATTCTGCCTCCACGCCACAAGATCACTCCAGATGTTTATGTCGTCGTAGATGTTGGGAAGTCGCTCACGCCAGGCTTGTAAGACCATTTTAAGTTCCGACGATTTCTTCTCCAGGTTTGTGGCAGTGGTCTGTGACAGCGACCCAAAAATTTGAACGGCTTCCTGGAGTTCCACAAATTGCTGGAAGTGTTGGAGCAAAGGTATATGTGCCACAGAAAGGTGCTGGGGAAGTCCGACCCACTTGCGAAGCGATAACTGCATGGCATCTTCCAAATACTTTGTGAAGTCAATATTCTTGTCCAAAGCTGCTGGTAGTTTTAGTAGTGCAATGTAGGCTTCGAAGACTCTGCGACGGGGTGTTGGGATCTCAGGGAGTTGGTTGATCTGCTCTTCTAAACTCTCTCTGTTCTCGTTCCAGTCTTTGATCCTCCAAGCACATTCAAGCATCAACTCCTGGTTCCCCTCGCTCTTTGCAAATTCATATAGAATGTCCCAGTGTTGCAACTTCTCGGCAGATAAAATCCAATGGTCCTCCCACAAACAGAATTCAGTCTCCGAGAACGGGATTGCTCCGCTTCTTACGCGGTTCTGAGCTGCCTCGTACGTCTGGGATGCTTGCTCCCACATGCCTGCCTGTTCGAATGCAAGGCCTATATTTGTTTCTGCTCGAATGGAACGTCGGCGCCAAAGACCGTAGAACATATCTTCTTCGCCGAGTTCAGCGTAGACATCCGCCAAAGAGTCGTAGATATGATCGCAAACCGTGATTTCATCGTCCTTCGTATGCTCGAGCGAATTCTCCAGAATTTCAAGTCCGATATGCCATGCCCCGAAAGTTTTGGCAAGATACTTGACAAGATGAGGCGGTAAAATCATCGGTGGTGAGCAGGTGTGGATGCCTGCTAGGAGGGTCTGGACAACATTTGGACGCATGAATGCCTGCTTGGTGTGATAGTCTTTGCTCAACAAAATGACCATATAGTTTGTGATTTCGGATTGCTCCCTCCTTGTTAAGCAGGACCACGCTGCGGGAAAGATTGAAACCCAGGTATCATGGGCTGCTTGCGGGTCGAGGAATAACAGACGCTGAATTGGTCGGATTAGCTGTTGTGAACGGGGGAGCTGTATAGTCGACGGATTACTAGATGCCTGTCTGCGATCATGGCTTGTTGGAAGATCCACATCAGCTGCACCTAAAACAAGATGGAGGGCTAGGTACACCCAGTTATGGTCGGATAGAGCATCCCAACTTTGAACCCCTAGGATGTAAGTCAGGCGACCAAATAAGGACCGTGGAACACTGATGTCCAGCAGATCCATGAACTTCTCTCGGAGGCTTGAATCTTTGGCCCGACACCCTAGCAGGAATGATTGCTCTAATCGGTTGGTCAGATCACTGCGCCGCAACGTGGGTTCGTTGTAGATCTCGTAGATGAGCTCCAGATACGGGGCAAATATGGATTCTCCCCGGGTTTCATACAGCGTCATCTTCTGCAAGAGAGTTGCCTTCTCTTTCATGGTGGGATATGCTTCCTGCCGATGTAGTGCCCAAGTCCTTGCCAAATCCAAGATATAGCGACAGAGCGTCATGCTTTTGGATTTATCAACAAAAACACAGAGTGTGCTCAGTAACCACCTTCGTTGTTCTCCAAGGAATGCGACGGACATTTGGCAGATGTCCAGAATGGTTGTTACCAGGCGGACGTTGGCTTCATAACCAGGAGTGGTGGGGGAGGAATGAATATGTTCTTTCGTAAATTTGCTGAGAAGTTTCATCAAGGGCTGGCTGAAAGGTTCGATTCGTTCTGGCGTGAAGCGTACGATGGATTTGAGCATCCCTAAGATGCCAGGAAGAGAAGTTGAATTTCGTAGCCCTTCTCCGACTGACGAGTAGACGAAGGTATGGAAGTCTGACATTTCGCTGTGCTGTTCCTCGTCCTCTTTTGGTAATGGATGAAGGCGGATAAGCTGGTCAAAAATAGGCTGCAATGCTTCGTGTAGATTGTGATCCTCGGCTAACAGGCCTTTGCGAATGAGTTTCTGCAGCATGGCCGCTTGCGAAAGATACCAAGAGTCTGGCTGTTCGGCTGCAATGACTTGAAGCACTTTGGCCGCTGATACAGCCTGCGCAAGAAGACTGGGGTTATCAGTTGGGACATCATTCTGTCATCGTCAGAGTAAGCCAGAATAACGTCGACGTGTCACTCACTTGTTCCAGCGCTCTTGAGAAGAAGCGCAAGCCGACTGTCACATCCGTCCACCCATTAGGCCCGATGATGCTCTGGAGAAGGGAAAGTGCCCTTGGTAGAAGAGTAGTCCGCGAGGCCTGATCATGCGTGCCGGTGGTGAGCCGCACTAGGTAGCTGACCATATTTTCTCGAAGGCTGAGAGGCGTGAACCAGGATGAATCGTCGCCGTCTTGTTCGTGCGTTGCATGTCCTAGCTTGACAGCTTGAGTTGCTTGTTCTTCCCAATTAAATATGACTTGCAAAATATCGATTGAGAGAAGTCGAGACTCTAGGCTGGTAGATGGCGTCATGCCCAGTTTGTTCAACGAATTGGCGATATGGGGGACAAACAGAGAACGGACAGAGAAAAACAACTCTGCTTGCTTCACGATCAGATGATATATCGTGATCATCGAGCTGATCCCTTCTTCTGTCAGTAGCCTTCGAGTTGTCCTAGCCCAGAGAGGGTGTCCGGGTTCTGAACTTTCTGATTTCGGGAGAGACGGAGCAAGAGTGACAAGGGCTTCTTGTCGAAGAGAAGCGCGTCCCTCTGAATGTGGTGTACGGAGCAGTCCAGTCCAAGCGCGGAGAATGAATTTCTGAGGGGTGGGGAATGCAGCGAAGAATCGGGCTGCCAGTAGATACGCTGTTTGCTTCACGATGACATCCTCGTTGGAGGTGATATAAGACCAAGCATATTTCATAATGTCCTTTCGGGCGTCGTCGAGAAGATCGGGATAATATTGCACTAAAATGGTTGTCAGATGGAGGACTTCAATCTTGAACATGTCATCAGCGTCATTGAACAGGGTGGTATCGCTCATAGGTTGCCAGATAACCCGATGAATCTGGTTGACGAAATCTGAATCGATGAGTGTCTCCGATTGTTTGGAACGTTTAGGTTGGATGAATAGAACGGGTGTGACGATGTATCGAATAAAATATGCCTTCTGTGTTTCCGTATATGCAGGATTGGAGAACCATGTCAAGAAACGCATGAGGACGTTGCGCCTGAAGATTGGATCCTCGCTGAGGGCGACATGTTCGTATAGAAATTTGCTTACTCCAATGACATCTATCCCGAGGCTGAAGGTGTAGACCGAAGTGATTTCGAAGAGCAAGTCTATTCGCGGTGATTGCTTCAGTGCTTGCGTGAATATCACTATCAAGAACGAATATTTGTGAACCACTTCGTTCATGACAGCGGCAAGAGACTCTGGCGCAGGGAGACTGGTTTGCCACAGTTCGACCACAGCATCAACAGCGTAACCATTCTGCGCAATCCAATTTGGAAGCAAATTGGTGAGGTCAACGAACAGACTGAGAACCGCAATAACAACGTTTCTTTCGTTTCCCGACCGTAGGCGATTGACCAAAAAGGGGGTTCTGGAGGCCAATTCCCGGAGAAGATTTGGGGCTAAACTTGCTTGCAAGATACTTCGAAGCGTCCGCAGTTGGCGTGTATACGAAAGATGCCGTAGGAAAAAATCGACGCCCTCCCCAGGGTAGCGATCCAAGTACCGCGCCAATGGCTCAGAGAACGGACTTTTGGTCGAGAAATGCATCTGAGCTTCTGTCTGCACAATCGCGTTGACGAGAGGTTCGAGGAAAATGTTGGCGGCTGCCGGAAGCAGGTGGAAGATATTTGCCAGACGAACGAGTTTCGTGATGCCCTCGTTGTCCGACAAAGATAACTTGGACGATTCTTGAAGTAACTGAGGGTCTGCGACTATGCGAAAATGATCAAGTAGCTTGTGACCAATTTCGACTTTGAAGTAATTGGTCAATAACTCGAGTAAACGAGCCAAACCCTCGAGACCGGGAACAGACAGCCGTTTTGGGTCCGCCAGGTTCATCAGGATCGGTCGAAGACCAGTTTGAAGCAACTCTTTTGGAAGCCGGCTTTGGTGTGTGAGAACCATACGAAGCCCTTCATGTGCCACGTCCTTGATCTCCGGAGATTGCGAATAGAGAGATTTGAAATAGACACTCGTCACTCTAAACTTCCTTGAGTTATGATCGAAACAGATGTCAACCTCGCTTACCTTTGGCGTGTTTGGTGTTGACGCGAAAAGAAGTCTGTCAGTGGCATTGAAGCAGTCAACAACTTGATGCATGCGACTCGCAGCTTGGTAACCTCCAATCCACCTTGACGAAGATTTCGAGGACCCAGGAGTTGGCCGTCATCCGCATCTGCCAAAGCCAAAGTTTCATGAAGCAAGCGCAAGAGCTCATCGTTCAGTTCCACCAAAGGCGGCTCCAGACTGACGCAATACCGAATAGCCTCAATCATGCCAATTTGCTTGGAGAAGGGTAATGCCCTCAGAGGTTTTGTGTAGATGCCGATTAGCATACGGTCCCTGTGGGGCATCAGAAGCTCGACAGCCGGTCTACCTGTGAGATCGACCAGAAGACCGATGCATTTCTGTGCAGCATCCCGGACTAAGGGATTCGGACTCTGAAGCTCGGGGAAAAATATGCCAACTGTGTGAACCAACTTTGTGCGTGCTTGAGTAGCATTTTCTCCATTTAAATCGAGATGATTGGTGCTGATGCGGAGGACCACCGTCAGAACTTCCACAACCTCTTCGACATTACGTGGTAAATCCGGAGGAAGGTCCTTGAGAATATGCAGCAAGGTGCGGAATAGGTCTACCTCGCGATCTATGATCCATTTGGCGCCTAATTCAGGTGTGTTGGTCATTATCCTGATTCCACTGCAGCCCGCACTCTTTCGAGTCCAGGAATCATCGAGACAAAGGGCGGTGAAGCGATTAGCGATTTGGTGCAAAATGACCATGACTTCTTGGTGAACAGCCACGAGTTTGCCATTGAGGGCGACTAGATCTTGTACTATGGCTGAGACAACCCCTTGTGCTTTCAGCGCTTGGTCAGGGTTATCGCGAGCAAGCGCGTGCGGCAGGGCATCAAGATAGGAGGAAAGAAGGATGCTGGGTGTGGGTCGTACTCCAGCCTCGCGAATTTGTGCTCGTCGAATCTCTTGGTCGAATATTGCCTTCCCTAGCCTTTTGATGAAAGTCTCTGCTTGACTCTCAACTTCAGGAAGGTGAATAGCATCAAAGGCCCCTTCTAGAGCACACACAAACGTCTCTTCTACATTGCGCCCTTTGATGCCCTGTTGATACAAATGACATGAGAAGAATCTTGTGGAAGATAAGAACGAAAATTACCTCATGAAGGAGGAGCGAGAGACAATTTTCTAAATAGGTGTAGGCATGCACACGGTCGATCGGTGACGCCTTGGAGATATGGCGGGATGCTAGAAGCACCACCGGACTCATTTCAATGTTTTCAATCATGCCGGAAAATGAGAGTGCAAATTTCGCGGACTCGGAATGATGTCGATACGTCAGAGAGGGTTCCTTCATTAATAGTCTCCTGTTTCTACCCCCTAGTTTTCCGAGTATACGGATTGTGGTGTGGGCCGGATGGTGCGAGGCAGGAAGAGGTTTGAGATGGCTGAAAAGGGCCTCCATTAAGTCGCGAAGGACGGTGCTCAACGTGGGGTCCAAAAAGTCAGGAGTAAGATTGTCGATACAAAGCTCGAGAGTCCGTAAACCCTGTGAGACGAGATCCGGGTTTCCTCGTAGGGCAAGCGCCAGTGGTTGCATAAGGTAGGTGAGATGGGGGAGAAGATGAGTAAGACGCAACGGCACCGTGAGGCAAAGTTCAACGATCATGTCGCGCGTCTGTCCCTCAGACGCTAAGAGCTGTCGGTTCAAACTCTCGAGCATGTCAGGCAGCAGCGGCACAACCGCGTTGTATAATAGTTCGTATCGACCTCCTCCAACACCGATAGCCCGGAAGAGGGCCCGCAACAAATGGAAGTAGTTGGTGGGCTTCGTAGCCTTGGCGGCAAGGGGGAAACAATCCATAAGTAGTTTGCTGACGTGGGATGCTAGGATTGCTTCGTTGGTCGTGGGATGAGTCGCAACAGCTCCGAACGCCATTTTGTAGAGGCGTATCGTTGCCGCTGCCGTCAAATCATCGTAATCACCCAGTAAGGGAAGGCGATCTACCAGGAACCTCAATACAATGGCAAGGAGAGTTGCTGAAGTGGTGTCCCTCGTGAAGAGAAACTGACAGACGTTCAAAAGCATGATTCGTTTTTGCGCGCATTCAAAGAAAAACTCCATTTTATGCGTCCAGACCTCTTGAAAGACATGCAGGTTAACTTCAGTAAGGACGTGGCCGAACCATTCTATAGGCTCGTTTTGCTCGGGCATTCGTGGATCAGGGTCAAACAAGGACATGCATCGCACGCATCCTTCGAAAAAACGGAATATCAGCGTGCCGTCTGGAGCTGGCGCTTCACATTTCTTCAACGAGGACAGACAGACTCGAAAGCCATGTAAGAGCGTTCTGAAGACCATGCGAGATTCTATGGGAAGTATGAGTACAGGCGGGGGAAAAACATCAGTCACCCACCATGAATTACATCTTCAGGCTTCTCTGTGGCATTTACGGCGTTGCCTATGGGGCGAGCTTTCTCGATGATTGCGATATAGGGAACAACTTCGGCCGATGTCGATTTCTCCTTGCGTCGATCTAGGCCAGCAGAAACCTCTGACTGCACCACACATAGACCGTCGAGCTTCTCTAGGCAGGCATTAAACATCGCTTCTAGCAGCTTGGCAGCCCCTTGAGAGGTCTCCTTTGCCAATATGGCGTCCGTTAGGCCAAACATCATTTTAGCAAATAGAGTGTGAAGATTGAATCCCAAAGCAGGGTTGTGCATCATTGATGAATAGACGTAGACGACGCGTTCGAGTTGCGAAGCACTGAGCTCATTTTTCACGTGGTGAACAAGGTCAGCGACTGCTGTGTATACTACCGGTCTATAGAGACGCGTTGTTAGTTACATCACCCATTGGAGAGAGAGAAAGCTCACCGAAGGATTTCTTTGCTTGCAAGGCCCGTCCCTAAGAGAACTTTATCATCGAAAAGTTTGTCGAGATGTTCAAAGAGTGCCCGTCGATGGGAAGTGCCCATGAGATGCCGGAAGACAACCATTAATTCCTAAATGAATGCTAGAGATAAACGGACTTCCAATAGAGAAGGAAAATACCTTTCTCAGTGCGATACCGCTTGCAGGACAGTCTTGCAGTAAGCGTAGAGCACTTAGGACCAGGGTTTCACCGTATGAATCAGCGAGGTCACCAGAAAAACGCATAACATATGCCAAATAGGAAAGAGTCTGTAGAACAATGAAAATTGCATTATTCAGTTAGTGAGACCCCGACACACCTTTATCTGGCCCTGAATGAAATCACTGAAGATGCTCGGATTCTTGATAGTCAAGGACATTCCTGCCCAGACGCCACCCATCGCCTCAGCTTCCGTTCTTGCCTTGTTTTGAGCCGGGGATTCGAGGGCTAACACTTCAAATGCATGGGCCGTTGTGCCCTGTATGGTCGATGCGACCAGATTCCTGTGAACTTGGGACATGATTACCATGACCATTCCCATTTCTCCAAGGACTTTGAAACTGCGAGTAGCAGGGAAAGACATGTTTGGATCAAAGACTTCAGAATCTTCCGAGAGATATTGATTAACAAGATCTTTCATGTTTCGCAACATGTCTTGAAATATTGAGACGAATTCTGTTAAGCCCTCCTCCGTAAGCGAGCGGTAGCCCCGCACAAGATCGACCAAAGTTTTGCAGGCGATTACTCCATTTTCTTCGTTGTCGTGCCGGAGAACGTGCAGCATGCAACCGAAGATGGAGGTTATTTTGGTTCGAACAGCATCGTTCACAGGCAAGCGATGTAAAGTTTCGAAGAGAACTCGGCGGAATTGATATTCGATGGTGTCTTTCTGGAAGGATGGCTCCCCAGACCGAAGCAAGTCAATGAGGGCTTGAACAAGGTATGGCAAAGCACGAGCAGACTCGGTGTCGCGCACAGTGTCCAGCATTTCACGAATCTCACATGCTACCACATGCTTGACGCGAAGTTCTAGCAGGGAGAGTTAAGCCACTGGCATGACCTTTCAATTTAGTCACTGGTGCTCACCGGTGTTGGGATCTGCTATTCGAGCAATCCGGATTTCGAGGTCTGAAGGGGCAGAAGAAGAAGTGTTCGTCTCCATCGGTGAAGGGGCAGCCATTATGAATGGAACATGGGTTCGAGGAGAATGAGACGAGAATGCCACAGTATGCGCGTACTGCATCTGAACATGGATTACCTAAAGCTGTAAGGCCTACTTATGGCCACATGACGCAGCATACTTACATAACCAGAGTTCCTTTCGTTCCCCCCCTTCTTTTTTCCCCCGTCGTCGTCGAATAAAGAGCAATGGATATTGACAAAATGTTCAAGGCAAGTGAATTCTCTGTTGTGAAACTGAAATCCCACATTCATCACAGTGGATGAAGGTCCCTAAACTTCCAACGGGAGGAACAAAACGAAAACTTCCTGAAAATCCTACTCCCGAGATGTTGAAGAAAATGAAGATGGATTCCAATACGTTGCCCAAACCGTCCGAAACTGTTCTACATCCGTCGCGCAAGGCGACTGTGGAGGAAGTTGTAGATGAGGATGAGGATGAGGATTTCGCGCCTGGCGGAGACGCCGACTATTTCGCGGAAGAGGATGATGAAGGTCGCTTTTTCGGAGGAGGTTTAACATCTGAACAGAAAGAAATTCTTAATATTTTCGACCAAGCTGGAACGCAGGGTACCGAAGATGAAGTAAGTCGAACTTTTGACCCTCTCGTGCAGCGCTTGCTCCTAATATCGTAGGCAGTAGACTTGTCTATCACCAGAATACGCCAAATTTTGCTTTCGTTCGAGCGTGCTGTCAACAGGAATCAAGATCATCGTTCAAAATATCCTGACGATCCTTCGAAGTAGTTCTTTCATTCCAAATTTCCTGAGGTCTATTCTGACGTTTTACTGAAGGTTCATTGACTCCGAGGCTGACCTGGACAGTGCTATCAAGGCGCTCCTCCCTCTGTCGCAGGTGCCATCTTTGGCATTTCCTGAACTCGTGCGATCGGGCGCGGTCACCCTCCTTGTGGGGCTTCTCACCCATGAGAACGTGGACATAATGATCGACGCCGTCGAAGTCATTTATGAACTTACCGATGACGACTTGGAGGTGGAGCAGGAAGAGGAAGGCTCCGAAAGGGGGCAGGAAGCCTTGACTATGTTCGTTGAAAAATTGGTGAGCAGCTTCCCATCTGAAGCACTCTCGAACCACATAAGAGCCATCACAAGGTGGACAGTTCGGTATTGGAACTTCTGGCCGACAACCTGAATCGCCTCAATGAGGATGAAGAAAGTGACCGTCAGGGGGTTTTTCACCTTTTAGGTGAGGAATATACCACGGCTAAATGTGCACGTGTAAAATTTCAACATCAGGGATTTTCGAGAACTTTGTGGGGCTGAATCCGGCCCTTTCTCCAAAAATCGTCACAGGGACGGGCGTCCTAAAATGGTTACTGTCTCGTATTCAGGCTAAAATTCCTGACGAAAATCGCGGGTATGCCGCGGAATTGTTGTCAATTTTACTGCAAGACAGCCACGAGAACAAAGGGAAATTTACCGAAGTTGGTGGAGTAGACGTCTTGCTCAAGACACTCTCTGTATGTCTCTCTGTTCAGGGCAGCAGGGGGCACATTCTCATCTCGATTAGCAATACCGCCGCAGGGATCCTATCGATGCTGATGAAACCGAATTCATGGACAACCTTTTTGATTCTCTGTGTTCATCTCTGAGCGAACCTGCGACGAAGCAAGCGTTTCTTGAAGGAGAGGGACCAGACCTAATGGTTCTTTTGATGAAGTAATGTTAATCACTTCACTTTGGAGCAGTAGCTTATAATCTCTCTCCTCAGGGAAAAGCTCGAGTCAAGATCGCGGTCCATTAAGGTGCTTGACTATGCCATGTCCGGGTCTGCTGGAACACCTGTTTGTGAAGCCTTTGTCGAAGTATTAGGCTTGAAAACGTTATTTACAGCATTCATGGGCAAAGTAAGGCATCAGAGTTCTTTGTCGAAGTCAGCTGCTCATGACCATCAGTCGTCAAAGCATCAAAGAAGCGGTTTAGACTCATCTACTCCCCAAGATGTGGCTCATAGTCTCGGGATCATCTCTTCTTTGTTCACAAATCTTCCCTCTGACACAACAAGTCGAATCCGTCTACTAGCTAAGTTTGTTGAAGGGGATTATGCAAAGATTGACAAGCTCCTCGAAATCCGTGATGCTGCTACAAAACGCCTTCAACTAACGGAAATAGAAATCCAGAAAAGTAAACAGGTGAGCGTTCTGAATATCTTCTCTCTTCTTCGCCCCGTGCTGACATCAATAGGATGCCTCTAATTCTGATGACGAAGAATCACATGAAGATTCGCTCTATCTCCAACGACTGGATGGGGGCCTGTTCACTCTTCAGACCGTCGACTATATCTTGGCCTGGTTGATGATGGAAGATGACGGTGTAAGCAGTAATCACAAGTCATGCTTTATTAATGACTGAATTACTTCAGTGTCAGGGTCATGTGCTACGTATGCTCAATCGTAAAGACCAGTCAACGAAGGATATCCTCCGAACCCTACAAAGTTATGAAGAACATCTAGGCAATGAGATAGACTCGACTCAGACTACGGATGATTCCATGTCGCAAAAAGACATCCTGAAAGGCCTCATATCTGCCCTAAGTAGTAACACAACGAAACAATCATAAAATTGCAATGGTATTCAGATACGCCATACGTGCAGCTACAACATGCTTAATTACTTCGAATCTGCAGGGGCCGCCGACGATAGGATCATCGTGAGAACGCCCTTGGTTTTGGTAATTTCCTCCTGGAAACGAACCTCAGAAGCCATCTTCTTCTTGAGGCGGAGAAATAAAGAGTCGATGAGAGGCGCTTGCCCGATAACAGACGAATACATGTCTTGGGGGCCTAAGTTGGCGAGACTCAGAAAACTGAAAAGGCACTCACCTAATACAATAGAAGTGATGTCAGCTACCACCTCCCCGAATCGTGGATCGGCAACGTATTTTAGTAACAGGTGAAGGACGGGTTCTAGAAGAACGTCATCACGCCCTGCCAAAGCTATCTTCAGGCCATCCCTGTGTATTAATTCTTCCATCAGGGCAAATGTGGTTCGAGGTGGTATATTCTAGAGAGTGGCAGACTATAAGTGTCTCATTCCTCAGTCATGATTTTAAAGGCTATATTGACCTTTTTCAGCACACAATCCAGTGCAGCTGAATACTTGAAACTTTTCAGCAATCTGTCGTACTCTTTCAACTTTTTGGAAGTCTGGGATTTTATCCGGATTTCGCCTGCATCAGTTGATGCTTTAATTTGGTGCTTCGAGGGCAAAGAGGTGAAATTAACGTTGGTGGCCAACGTAGATATGGTAGTTTGAGTCTGGGAAGTCTCTTCAGACTTCGCCTGGCGTCGTCGAACAGAGAGTGTGCCATCGGACATTCCTGCAACGATGTGGGTGTCATCCGGCTAAAAGAGGGAGTCAAAAGAAATAAGGAAAATCTATGTCAAAAACTCACCGACACAGCAAGACAAAGAATAGGTGCAGGGTAACGCATTGTATGTACAACTTTATAGGTGCCAACATCGTACACCTTGACCATATGATCGAGACTGCCAGTTAATAGCTGATTGCCTTGAGCATTCAAAGATAATGTCGTCACAGTTTTCTGATGATTGGACAACGCCCGAGTGCACCGTCCACCCGCAATGATGTCCCATACACGAAGAATTGGACCAGCAGCTGATATAGCTGCAGTACCGGAAGGGAACATCAGAACCTGCTCGATAGGGAAATTATCTGCACGACTGCGCCCTCCCATTAGCATCTCGCACTGCCCAGATCGAGCGTCAAAAAGCCGCATTGTAGAGTCATACGAGCCAGTCAAGATGACGTTCGGATTGACCGTGGAAACTTGACCAGCACGAACATAATCCGTGTGGTCTATGAATGTCAAAATCGCCGTTTGAGAAGGGACGTCCCAGAGCTTAACAGTAGTATCGTCAGAGCAGGAGAGAATTTGTGTTGGTGACAGGGAAGAAAACTTTGTGATGTGCACTGGTTGCTTGTGACTGTCCAATGTACGCAGAATGGCCCGCGAATTGATGTCAAAAACCTGAAAATTGAATCAGGAAAAGGTCCAAGACGTAAAAGTAAATAGGGTCAACTAACTTGTATCAAACCACTGTCGTCTCCTGCCACCACAAGCTTCCCATCGTCTCGGATACAACCACTACGGGCGACGTCTTTGAACCGCGAGATGGTTTTAGTGAGCTTTTGAGTGCGTGGGGCATAAATCTGGACCCGGGTTGCAGCGGTTGTAGCGTACCTATGCGGCTTCGATGGTGCAAAGTGAACAGACGTTATGGGCGCGTACTCCTTTACAAAAACAGGGTGCTTGAACTGTCTCCAATATCTAGACTCTCCAGAATGTTTTGACGATCGTCGACGGGTCTTGATGACAACAGATTGATAATCCATGGGCGAATCTCTGGCGATAGATGAGACGCGAATAGAGGATTTGTTATTGCAACTGGACGTTAGGAAGCCGAGAGCGCTTTAATTTCGTCTGTGATTATATAATTGTTTGTTTGGACCAAGATAAGATCTGATCGATGCAGTCAAGTCGTACTGTGTTGCCCGTCTAATCGCCCCTGAGGTTAAATTTTCTGTTTTGCATTCACCATGTTGTTGTACGAAGACATTATCTCGGGAGACGAACTCTTCTCCGATGCCTTCCCCATGTACGTGCCTAGGCGTTCTTCACAGGTGCAAACTGACTCGGCAGTGAATAGGAAGGAAGTCGATGGCATCGTGTATGAGGTTGACTGTGCGATGATCGTTGTGAAAGCTGGAGCAGATGTCGACATCGGTGAGAAGGTCTTCCAAATACTTTGCATAGTATTAACTCATTGATCAGGCGCTAACCCCTCCGCTGAGGAGCAGGATGAGGCTCTGGAAGACGGCGCCACCTCAGTAAACAACATCGTCCATTCCTTTAGGCTTCAGTCGACATCGTTCGATAAGAAGTCATACTTGGCTTATCTCAAAGTTGGTCTGAAATTCAAGATGCTATGTTCCTAGTCATTCAGTCCTGTAATTCAACAGGGTTACATGAAAGCGGTGAAGGAAAAATTGCCCGCAGAGAGAGTTGCCGAGTTCGAGAAAGGTGCAGCTGCATACGCCAAGAAAATCATCGCCAATTTCAAGGATTTCGAATTCGTGAGCGTTTCTTGCCACATCTTAGATCAACGTCGAACTTCTTACGCTCCTCCCAGTACACCGGCGAAAACATGAATCCAGACGGTATGGTTGCACTCCTCAATTATCGCGTAAGTCTCTTTTCTCTCTCGGATTCAAAGCCCAAATACCGATTGCTTCCACGAACAGGAGGATGGTGTCACCCGTAAGTCTCTTATTGTTGATCCACGAATCTCATTTCTCACAACTCACTCGATATAGCATATTTCACGTTCTGGAAAGATGGGACCAAACAGGTGAAACTTTGATAATCGATAGTCGTCTTTATCACGAGAAGTGTCAATTGCAAATTTTTGATTGTATCGAAGCTACTGCAAGTTATCCTTCCAAAAAGTTGTATCACTGAAAGACAAATTGGTGGTTTCAAGGTGTTCCGGAAGCAAATCATGCACTTTTTAGGCTAGCTGAACCTCACTCCTAAACCGTGTGAGCCCTGACCAGTGACCTGGAGAAGCTTACTACTTCACGGTTCTACGCCGCTTTTCAAAGAACGAAGTTTATGTGCTTCCTCAATATGCGCGCCACCAACAGGGTCCCGTTGAGCGTCATGGAGGAAGTAATCTACCAACTCCATGTTCCCAAACATTCTAATTGACACGATAAGTTACTGATGTGTCTACACTTTATAATTACCACCAATTCCTGAGACTGGGAGTCTTCTTGGGCTGCTATGACTATCCTGGTTGACGATGAGTTTGTGTCAGCAGGTGGTAGAACCCACCCTGACCCCCACGTGGTTTTAGTCGTATGTCCTACCTGTTACACCTCTTGAAAGGGCTCTGCAGGTCGGGGAAAGTCCTCTGGCAGTGGCAGTAACGCAACGGGTGATGGATGAGGTGTTTGGGGTTACTTACTCTAGAGTAGTTGTAGCTTGTCCTCTACGTACCTACGAACCGGTCGTACCCTCATTGGCTTGCTGCACCATCGTTCGCCAATTTATCTCAAAACAGAATATTTTTCACTGAAAGTATCCTCTGGGCCCGCACAATTACTGTACCATTTCGAATTATTCGGCCGGGGGTGTGACCTGTGACCAGGTGGCCGAAATTTTGGGTCCGGCCACTATGTAGGGACTGACTTAGTCCGAATTTCGGCCAACAAGCGGCGCGCTCCCAAGAGGAACGAAAATTCCGGATAGATTGTGACCTGTAACACGCACTGATTTCGGCCTCGGATAAGCTTTTGACTTTCCGCCCCCCCGCACGTGATGGACCGCATTACATAAACATGCTGGTTCGCGAATCGGTTCTGTCCCACGCGCCTTCCAATCACTCTTTCCCTTCGACCATCATCTCTGCCGCCGCCATCGTTGTCCACCGCTGCCACATCCTTCACCGCCCACATCCCGCCCACATTGACGCCCCCCAACGACCCCCACCATTTGCCCCTCGTCCTCCTTGCGCCTTCGCCAGCGAGTCCCCCCTATTCCATCACTGTGGCCACCATCATTGTGGATGGCTTTCCCTCGACCCCCTACGTTTCGTGCTCCCCTCCCAATCACCCCCATCGTCTACATTCCCGACGACGTGCCTACGCCACAACCCCAGCCTCTCCTTGCTACGATGCAATTGATAGAATTTCGTATATTTTGTGCTACGTAACTTGAAATATATGCCGCATAGCTCTTCATAAATTCCGTTCTTAGTCGATGAGAGCCCCGAAGCAATGGATATATTACACTCGGTTTTTTCGCTGTTTGACTTAGAAATTTTTGAAGTCCACTCAGCCACAAAGGCTTCCAAACGAACTGGTTCGCAAATTTGAGGGTGTTATGTAATGTAAGCCATCACGTGCGGGGGGCGGAATCTCGCCAACTCCTCGGATACAGGCCCTGTGACCCGTGACGGCCGAACAATTCGAAATGGTACAGTATAAGGAAGCCTCCTCCATTGACCAGAACTTTGCGAACACTGACGTGAGGTGCTCATCCTATCGCTTCACTAGTCCATACCAGCGAATTCGAGGCTCCACCCCACATACTCAGCTCGTTGGTGCTCTACGAATCTTTGTCTCCCAACAGAACCCCAGGATGTCAACCCTTTCACCATTCCTAGATCCCCTAGTGCATACTTATATCCCCGAATCGATATCTAACGCAACACTCAAAGATGACTTAGTATCCCATTGTCAGGATATTTTGCGGAGGTATTTAACAATGAAGCCTGACCTAGTGGCATCTTCTGAAGCTTTGGCACGCAGCCATATTGGACACAAGACTGAGACTAGCCTCAGTCAGCTAACAGACCTCGTAAAACGGCGATGTGTGTGCTAATAAGCTTTGGAAGGCTTTCCACACTAATTCTGAAGACAGTGCTCCAGCTCTATCCTAGCGGTTCAAGCGCTTCTAAGTTTGCCAATTTAGTTGCTCGTCTGCAAGAGCAAGTGCGGCCTTGAATCGAATGTATATTCACGTTCTCACCCCCCATCAGCCAGTCCTCTCAAGAAAGCAAGAGGCTATTCTCTTCTTATTCACCCTTTCGACCTCAAGTATTCACACGCAATCCGCATTCCAGATCCCCGCTTTGGCAAATAGCAAGCCTCATTTGCGAACACAGGCAAACACGCCTCCGCTTGATCACCCTGCACATGGTGGTGAAGCAGCGACGACTAATGCAGATCTTCTCAGAGACTTTCGGTCTCGGAGAGGTAATGTCCTGATAACTTGTCTGTGGACTCGATTAACTCCTGCGCTAGGGATGTCTTATTTGACGGAATCTCTGCTTATCCGAGATACGCTGTATTTAATGCAAGGTATATCGGGAAAGTACATTCGTTTTGCGTCTTCAGAAACAGCCGACAAGACTTTGGTGTTCCCTACCGATCAGGTGAGTCTCCTTGTCCTCTCGTCCTATAGTCACCTTCAACAATAGCAACACAGAAATTTGTTATCCCTCCATCAACGCAAGCTCTTATCCACAGACTCGCGGAGCTTGGCTACCTTTATAGCCGCGTGGAAAGCTTCGTTCGAGAGCGTGAAGGTGCAGACGGTGTTGGAATGATCGAACAAAGTCTCTGCCATTATCTACAGACTCAGCTCACCGAATACTATCGCCTAATCGCGGTGCTGGAGACCCAAATGTCAACATGCAGAAACGAGACAACTGAACTTCCCAGAAGCCAGGAAACCGGGCTATCTTTAAGACGATTGGATGTCTGGGTGAACGACTGGCGTCTGAGAATGAGGATGATGAGCGTTTGCGTGGAGGGTGCTCGAGGTGTGCTGACTTCTTACTTAATATCTGATAATACTGATCTAGCTGTTTCAGATGCTCACGGGGGAGCTTTAGTAAATCTGATACACAGCTACACAGACAACGGAGATCCGTTTGTGCGGAAGTTTACCGACGAGCTTCTAGAAGAAGTAACGATCTCTCTTTTCTCGTTTGTGGTTGTCTAATGCGCCCTCTCCAGGTATCTCGCCCATTTTTTGCCACTCTCCATAAATGGTTATTTTCTGGAGAGCTCTATGATCCATTCGAGGAATTTTTCGTTTCGTCGGGTTCAAGTCTAGGGCATGTCGCCTACGTTCACCCTTCGTCTATACCTGGGGGCATAAACAATCATGTCACCGATGGGGGTTTCGGAGGTGCATTCAACCCCGACAATGATGATGATTTGGGCCTTCGGGAGGATGGGCAAAAGCTCTGGGAGGCAAAATATCAATTTCGGAAGGACATGCTCCCCATGTTTGTTGGAGAGCCCTTCGGAAGAAAGGTAGGTATTATTCACTAGAATCGAATTCTGCTCATGAGTTTCCAGATTTTTTCGACTGGAAAAAGCTTGAATTTCATTCGGTACAGCTGTCTGGATAGCGACTGGGTGGTCACACGTGAAAAAATGAGTAACACTGGTGGCAGTAAGTTTGGATCACCGCACGTAGACGCAATGCCAACATTTTTTTAGTTCTACAGTACAACGATATTGCAGGGTTAGAAAGGTCAATTGACAGTGCATATCAGGTGGCCAGCCATCGATTATTCGAAGTCTTCATCGAGAAGTTCAAACTTCTTCATCATCTCTCTGCCCTGAAAAGCTTCCTTCTCTTGGGCCACGGCGACTTTGCCGATCAACTCATGGAGACCTTAGGGTAAGGCAGTGCCTTCCTATCGCACTGACCCGATTAATATCCCTCTCTTTATAGTCCAAGTCTGGCACGGCCTGCAAATACCCTGTTTCGGCACAATCTAACGGCCAATCTAGAAACAGCCATACGCTCCTCGAACGCCCAAAAAGATCCAGTAGACACGCTACGCCGGCTGGATGCCCGAATGCTGGAGTACTCTCATGGCGAAATCGGTTGGGATGTGTTCACCCTGGAATACAAAGTCGACCCTCCTATCGACACCGTTCTTGACCAGGAAGCAATGGAAAAATACTTGAAGTTGTTCAAGCATCTCTGGCAAATGAAGAGAATTGAGAAGACTCTGGACAAAGGATGGATGAGAGTAACGGGCAGTGCAAAGAGCTTTCTTCGCCTTCCAGGTCCGTCTTGCATATCATCTTGATGGTATTTGCTCAATGGCGCTTCCCATCAACAGAGTTAGACTTTGAGTGGCACAAAATCCGTATAGTAATGGCTGAGATGATACACTTCATTCGCCAACTCGAGGCATACTGTCGCTTGGAAGTCATAGAATGCTCCTGGAAAGTTCTTATTGATTTCTTGAACAAGAAAGAGGGAGACCTGGATGCACTGATTGGTGCACATCGGACTTATCTGGACAGAATGACTCAGAAGATCTTGCTCTGGAATCCAAAACCAGGCAAGGAGGTGAGCTGATATTCTGAAACTTTGAGCATGCCTTTGACAATGAGGCCAGGAACTAGTTTTACGGCAACTTCTAGATGTATTCGCTCTCATCCTGCAATTCCGCGATGCGACAGTGAGCGCTGTTTTCTATTCATTCGAAGGCCATCCAGTCTTATCTATACAAACATAGGATAACTTCTACAACTACTGCCTGACGGAGTCAGCCAGGAAGGATCAAGAATTGGATGCAGAGCGGGTAAGTCCTTAGTTCTTCACCGGTGTTCCTCTTCAATGATCTATAATGCAGGGGGTCTACACCGGGAATGCAAAGGGCGACTCTACACATCCTAGGGATACCCTACCTACATTGCTTGATCGCCTGAAGGAGTATGGAACTGGCTTTTCAGACAGGGTACAAGCTCTTGTTCTGCAACTTCAAGTACATCCCGACTTGGACTGCCGGTTCCTTGGAATTCGACTTTCCTTCTCAGACTACTACAAGTTGAAGAAGGATCAACAATCTGTGAAGGCATAGGTCGCAGATGAATTTCTGTATCAGTCTCACAGCCTCAGCATGTTTCCGTATCGATGATTGTTCGAGTATGTACAAGATGTAACCCCCCCTGGATTAGTAAATAATCAAAGCTCGTCATGACCCGACTCGACTGGGGCATCTGCATCTGCGGGCTTGCTGGCTTCAAGGGGAACTTGAGCCTGTTCAACTGTGGGGAGTTCGAGAGAGTTTTTCGCATGTTGTTCAATGAAGGAAACCAAGCTCTCGTATGAACGATCGCCTTCGTAATCAATGAATTCGCGAGAGCCGGCGGGCTTGAACTTGAGGGTTGGGAAACCAGAGATGCGGAAGGGCACAGATGCGGGGAGGTCGTTCTCCTGAGCCTCGAGTTTGGCGCTAGGGAAGAAGGAAGAGACACAGTTAGGATGGTGTTATTAACAAGAACGAATGACTTACATGATAAGGCGGTCTTTGATGGGGGCATACTTGTGGCCGATGCTCTCCCAGATAGGAGCCAAACGTTTGCAGTGTCCGCACCTTAGAAACTTATGAACAAATATGAATCGAAAAAGGATGAGCGATAACATACCAGGAGGCATAAAACTCAACGAAGACATCTTTGCTGTCATCGTAGACAACATCTTCAAAGCTCTCGCCAACGAGGACGTAAACGGGCTCGTCCTGAGTGGGAGGAATAACTTGGCTCTTAAGCTTAGGCTGGAGCTTTCCGTCGAGGTATTGTCGGACCCATTCAGCGGCACCTTCAGCGCTAACTTCCTTGCTTTGGTCATAGGGATATTTCAATTGCTTCTCCAAGTTCTGGATGACGAATGCCGGCCATTTCACTTCCATAACGTTCAGAGCCTTAGCGTGATCACCGTACTTGACAGCATCGATCCAGACGAAGTTCATCTTCGACTTGTACTTCGCAGCAACAGGTTTGAGGGCGGCAATATGAGCATCTTGTCCTCGAGAGTAGGGTCGAGGAAGAGGTAGGCCAGAGGTTTGGGGCTAGCAGCGTAGACGGCGTAGTTTTCACCGCTGACCTCGTCGATGATGGGAACGGCGAGCTCCTGGAGCCACTGCTCGAGGTCCTTCTTCGTGAGGGATGAGATAGGGTAGGGGTACTCGGACTTGGGTTCGTCAAAGGAGCGATAGACAACAACAGTCGGCGGAGTAACACCAGCGCCCTCGATGGCTTCCTTGTCTGTAGTGAAGCCAAACAGATAGTCGTCACGATGGCTTTCGGCGGCAGCGCTAAACTCAGCAGCTTGTGCGTCTGTGGGGGAAGCGAGATAGGCAATAGCCACGATTTTGTCTGCCTTGATGAAGTCATCGTGGTTGGCAGATGTAACTTCTGAGACAGCTGGCAACGATTGTCTGATGCGCACACGTTAAGCTCTATCCATCTTCCTCCTTTAAAACTTACTTGATCATGTAACTTATAATGCCATCAGCCTTTCGTGGGCCGCTGTATTCAGTGGCTTCGCCTTTTCGGTAGACCTTCAAGGTGCTACGCAGTGCCATAAGACAATGTGGACGAAGATGACCATCTGGACTGCTCACGGGTAGCCTTGAATGCCTTTGGACTGACAAAGATCTGCCTCTTCGACGCAGTCGACTTTGGCAAGCTTAATGCTCTTCTCCTTAAGAGCAGTGGCAGCTTCCTCATAGTGAGGGGCCAGTGCCTTGCAGTGGCCGCACCTGTGCCCAATGAGCAAATGGACCAGCAGAGGCATGATGTGCCACGTACCATGGGGCGAAGAACTCGACGAGGATAAGGTTCTCGGCGCTGACGGTGGACTCGAAGTCGGAAGCAGTCAAGCTGAGAACATCGGAGTCGCCCTCAGCGAGAGCGAAGGTGGCGAGGGCCAGAATGCAGGCAGGCACTGAGAACCGCATCGGAGTCGCGGAAGGGAGTGGAAAGAAATGGTTGATGCAAAGGGCTTATATGGACAGACGAGGACTGACGTGTCACTTTCGTAACGTTGATCGCTAACAGACACCCGAAAACTACCCGAACGGAGTAATATAGCCATTAAGTAGTGCCTGGTCATAGACTATAAGTGTCCCTTCCATCTAGCTAGCCTGCTCTATCTAGTCTTGAAATACGTGGCCATATCACAGGCTCCCCAAATCAAAGTTACTGCCCTGCTGACTGCCACTCGCATAAACCTTTGTACTTGGTCTAAATTCTCGTGGTGGAGGAAAGTCCGTCACTGGAAAAGTGTGCGCACCAGCGTTCGGAGGTGGAGATGGGACTAGATGTACGTTATCAGCCACACATGTGATGATAAAGCGAGTAAGACACGTACTCTTTCTTCGAGGAGGAGGTGGTCTCCCGCCATTGGCTGTTGCAGCAACAGGGAAACGGCGACCAGGCGGTGGCAGCGGGGAGCTCCTTGCCGGAGAGCTTGCTCGCTGTGACACAGGTGGTGACGAGAGGCGCGCAGGTTCTGGGGAGCGATTGCGTACAGGTTCGGCTTCAGAGATAGTTCTGGATCGAGGGGGAGGCGCCGGGGCTGTCACCGCGGGCGGCTTACGGACAGGAGGTGGAGGCGCAGTTCTCGCAGGTGAAGGCAGACCGGACGATGGTCTCGGCGGCGGAGGTGGTGGCACCCGGGCGGGTGAAGCGACACTAGATTTGCTTCGGGAAGCTGCCGGAGGAGTTACAGTACGAGGCGGTATTGCTGGAACTGCGCGCGAGATTGACGGGAATGGCTTGACGGGTGACTCTGCCCTAAGTGGGATCGCAGGAGCAGGGCGCGCAGGCGCTGCGGGTGGACTAGCACTTCGGACTGGAGGCGGAGGCCTGCGAGGGGGAGCAGGGGCGGACGTCTTGGTTGGGCTGTCCCGTGGGGGTAGACCAGGCGCAGGGCGTGCTGGGGGCGCAGGGGCAGTTGGAGTGGGTTGCGGTGGCCGCGGGGGTCTGGCGGGAATGGGTGCCGATGGCTTCGAGGGAACAGCCCGCGCTGGAGGTCCAGGCGGCGACGCTGCAGGCGGTTCAGCCTTTGGGATCGAGGGCGGCTTCCCAAGCATTGGCGGTTTGGCTGTGCAGGGGAGGTCAACAGTGAACTAGAGGAATCGTCGTGCTAAACGTACCAAGATTGCTCTGACCAGCAGGCTTCAGCTTTGGCATTCCCCCAGCGAAGAGCCCTCCGAGTTGGGGTGGACCTCCGCCCGCGGGAAGAGAAGGTGCACCCATTGAAGGTGGGGCACCTACTCGCCCACCGCCGCCCTTAGGAGTATCGACGACCGGCGCACTTCGGTCGTTTACCTCCGCTTTCTTGAGCTTCTTGCCCGCTTGAATCTGCTTCAACAGTTCACTGGAAGCCATCGACGTTGCCGGTTGGTGTCAAAGGTGGCAGAATGCGCAGCCGACTGATCACATAGCCAAATAGAAGGTTAGTCCTCCATCATCCAGTACGGAATCTTAATACTATTATCGACGACTACACTCTTCATGATACTCCTAGCTACCAATGTCAAGAGTGACTACACTCTGGGCCAGGAAAACAACAGAGCTTAAAACCCTGAGGGTCCTGCCTCACTCAGAATTGTCCAGCACAACAAATCATGTTCAACCATCTATCAGCATCGTTTCGCATAGCAAGTGCGTGCACGTACTCAACGCGAAAACTACGAGATCGATCTAGTACGGCTTATGCCTGTTCTTCTTGAGGTCTTGCTCTAACTTCTTGGCTTTTCGGTGACCTATCTCGACTGGACGAATCGCACTGTCATCAGCTTTCTTCAGCTTCACCGGGCGGTTGCCAACATATTTCCCTAGAAGCCAGTCAAATAATGCTGGAAAAGAGAAGAGAAGACTCACCATCCATCTCTTTCCAGGCTTTCAGGAAGTCTTCTGGATCGGAAAAGGCCACAAATCCATACTTCGCCTGCAAAATCATGACGCGGGATGAATATGGAACAAGAAGGGCGTTCTGGAGAGACAGACCTTCTGACTCAGGCGATCGCGAATGACCCTCGCTTTCTGAAAAGACGAGTACTTGTTAAAAGCATTTGCCAGAACGTCGTCGGATACATCGTTGCTTAGATCGCCCACGAATAGACGGAACCAGGCTAGAAAAGCCATGTCAGAAGTTCACGCACCAGATATCTAATAGTACCGACATACCAGGGTTCCATTCAAGCAGAGTTTGGTCCTCCCAGACCTTCCCTCCACCCTTCCGCAGAACGGTGACCCGCTTGCCACCTTTCGCTAATTTACCGCCAGCACCACCGCGCTTGTCGATCATAGCACCAGGAACATACACGCTCTGCTGAGCCAGAATACCAACATCGTATTCGTAAGCGTTGGCAGGAACTGGCGCACTGTGAGACGAAGATGAACCGGGGATAGGGTAAGAAGGGCCTTGATAAGGTTTATAGTAGGGATTCACGTCGTAGGCAGCTTGCTGCTGCCGAGAGTATTGGTTCTGGTAGTTGGCATTTGAGTACGGATCCATTGGTGCGGTGGGCGTCGAGGAAGAGGTGGGTGGTGGTAAGCTGATGGTCGTTTCTGAACAAGAGTGCTTGTGGCTGTGAGTCTGACCGAAGCGTACGTCACAATGATATATTACGTAATAACATCCTCACAGTGTCCTCCCACAAGTTTTGGTGGTCATCAGCACCGATTCCCTCCTCAAGACTCCCTCCCTCAAGGTATGGCCCTCATTTTCTTCTCAGTGCTTCCAATGCCGCATATCAGGTCGTCTGTCCCGTTTTCGCCACTGGTTTTGAGCGATCGCGGGTGGATGCAGATTTGTCTACTCGGATGTCATCCTCAAAACTAACCACACCTTCATCCCATAGATGCCGTTCGTCAAAAAGGTCAAATCAGATGCCTACTACTCGCGCTTCCAAGTGAAGTACCGCCGCCGAAGAGAGGGAAAGACCGATTGTACGGATTTATGCTCTCCTGCGCGCGCCCTTCCCTAACAGAAACGACTTGTAGACTATGCCCGCAAGAGGCTCGTAACACAAGCAAAGAACAAATAGTGGGCTTTCATGCTCTCCTTGTGTTGTTTCCGATGCTAACGCTTTGATTCAGCAATGCGCCGAAGTACCGCCTCGTTGTGCGCTTCACGAACAGGGAGGTCATCGTCCAAATCGTCTACGCACGCCTACAGGGCGATTTTGTTCTCACTGCCGCCCGTTCAAAAGAGCTTCCGAGATACGGAATCAACCATGGTTTGACAAATTGGGCTGCTGGTGGGTGGTAATGAATTTCCGGGGTCGTGCATCTGCCTCACAGCGATCTAAAGCTTATGCCACCGGCCTGCTTTGTGCTCGGAGGGCTCTCCACAAACTCGGCCTGGGCGATAAGTACGAGGGCGTTGCGGAACCTGATGGCACCATGAAACTCACCGAAGCCCTGGATGAAGAAGATGCCCCTCGGCCCTTCAAATGCTATCTTGATGTTGGCCTGAGGAGAACCTCCACAGGTTCTCGTGTCTTCGGAGCGTTGAAAGGTGCAAGCGACGGCGGTATCTTTATCCCTCACTCCGAAAAGCGTTTTCCTGGCTACGACCCAGAGACCAAGGAACTCGATGCTGAGGTCCTCAAAAAGTACATCTATGGCGGTCACGTCGCTGAGTACATGGAGTCTCTAGAGGAGGAAGATGATGAACGGTACGCTTGTTCCGAACCTCCCCAATACCTACTGACGCATTGCGCATAGATTCAAGAAGCAATTCTCTACTTATCTTGCTGATGGCGTCGGTTCGGAAGATATTGAAGAGATCTACACGAACGCCCATGCGGCCATTCGTGAAGACCCAACCTTCAAGCCTAGCGAGAAGACCAAGGACTGGAAGGCCGAGTCCCTCAAGTACAAGACCGCGAAGCTCACTCTCGCACAACGCCAGGCCAACATCGCCGCCAAAATCGAAAAATTCAAGGCTGGCGGCGATGCCGAGGAGGACGACTAATTACGCTTATGGCTCTCGATGCTCTTGCTGTGCCCATGACCTCATGTACTCGAAATCTTCATGCACCAACAATATGCAATGCCATACTGATTCTTGGGGCACTCACGATGATGAATATTACAATTTGTTGATGACACCGACGGCCCATTGGACCAGAGGTCCATTTTCAGGTGCGTACATAGTTGTCTTTCCCTGCTTGGCTGTTTTGTTGTCGAGACGAAAGGCACAGCACCCAATGCCAAATTCCTTCCCGTACAAAATTCGAAAGTTTCTGGTATTATGACGCTCAGATGGCAAACAGCAAGGAAAGTTCAGGGACTTACAAGACACAACCATCCCACTTGGCAACACATCTGTCTAGGTCAACGAACCAGATACCACCTGTCTTGAGAGACCGTTCTTTGCCAACAGTGCATATTTTTTGCAAAAGGCATCTCTCTATTTCATCCATCAAAAGCTGAGACAGTTGAGGGAGGGAGGATATCATCAATGTTGCTTGAGATAAATGCGCCGTAAGCGTCGAAGGAGACGTAAATGTGAAGCGCAAGGTGTGCCTTTTATAGAGGGTTAAAGAAGGCGGAAACCATGAAGGCAACAATTCTCGTACCAGTTGTCGATTCGGATGACGGCCTCTCCAGAGACGGTCTTGCC